ATTTTAGTGCGTTTGAATCATCATTTTACACATGCGTGCATGTTCATATCAAAAAAAATACATTGAATCCAACTTTTGAACTATTTTGGAGGAAATTATGAATTTTCATGAAAATCTCATGCATTGAGCATCATTCAAGGTTTTCTTATGAATTAGCATGTAATGGTTGTTCAATTAAGGTCCAATGATGTTTTGAAGCTTGTCTGAATCAATTAGAAAGCATGCATACCCTTAAAAATGATCCTAGCATCTTTCCCCTTGGATTACAGTGAGTATAGCAGACATTTTTAGCAGCAGCAGGTTCCATCGGTCGGCTGATGGCAATCATCAGTCGACTGATGATGGTCTCGTAGCATTCCAGTAGCCATTTTAGAAAAAAAAGAGTTATCAGCCGGTTGATGATTGGGGTTCAGCCGGCTGACGATTGACTTTCGGTCGGCTGATGATGGAGGTTCAGCTGACTGATCCTCCCTAATGCATGGTTCACTCTCAGCATCTCGGACAGAATTCTTGGGTCAACTTCAGAGGGCCATAACTCATTCATTTCTGATCCAAATTAGGTCATTCTTGAGCCTAACCTCAAGATCTTGAAGTCATATTTCCATTAATACCAAGAACACTCAAAAACTCCAACCGTAGTGAAAGTTATTACTATTTTAGTGAGATAGGTTCCTGGAATCTCCAAACCGGAGAATGCTTCTTATTCTAAAATTCATATCTTTTCCGTCCGGATTCTGAATTAGGTGATTCTTGAGTCTAAATTCATTAATTTTTTGTTATGTTTCCAATTGTGTACCTGGTAGCATTCAATTCTATGTGAAATGACCATAATACCCTTGGTCCATTTCTTATAGGATTTTAAAGTCTTTGTTCTCTTCTTACTTCCATTGAGTCTTGGGACTTCTTAGGAAGCTATCTTTGTGTCTTAGGGATGATGTACATCTCTAGAGGCCATATTTCACTTTAGCTTCCGCATTCTTGAATCATTATTTGATTTTTATTTGGTTTGTCATAGGACGCACTGGCCTAAAAACCAGGACCGTCACACGTTCGGCCTTGAAAGAGTCTGGGTAGGTAGGGTGGCCCGAGCCGCAATGAGGGCGTTGCAAGTTTGGGTAGGGGAGAATGTAACAAGGGTCATTTGTTCCACATCGGATCTGGATGAGAAAGTGATTGAGTATAAATGAGTGGGTATGCAGCACTACCCAATAGCTTAAGCTTTTGGACAAATGAATAAGCATCCACCCGTTACAATAATCTTATGAAAAGTATATGTCTATATATAAGGGCAAGGGATTTCAATTAATTAATTACTAGAAAAAATAGGGAAGCATAGTTTGTACCTCGAAGGGTACGAATCGATGCTTCTTATTCGGTATTTTTCTAAATTAAATGATACCAAATTATCTAATTAAATGATACTCAAAGTGGGTTCGATTTCTATGAAGGCCCGAATTTCAAAGAATCCGGTGCTTAAGCGAATAACCCGAAAACTGATCCGATATTGAATCTCAAACGCGGAAGCAATAAAAAGAGAAGGGTTTTCTACAGATGGACTCTACCTCTAAGACTCCAAAGTGACTTCTTAAGAAGTCACGAGACTTGAAAAGAAACAAACGCGGAAGCTAGGGTTTAAAACGGACTAAGAATTGAACTAAGGGTAAAATGGTCATTTTATTCAATGGTAGAGAAATTTTACTCAAAACAATTCAAATGAAGTGTACTCAGTCCAATATAATCAATTCATAACACCCAAGAGGTTCTAAGACCTTTAGTAATGATTTCCCAAAAATATCTCTTCCCGGTCAAGTGATTTCCCGACACTGTCCCACTAAAATAAGAATATCTGTTAATAGGAATGGAATCTGAAAATGGGATTGATACCATTGAAAATTTAACTCAAAATCCTTGAGTTTAGACTTAAGAATGACCTAATTTGGATCTGGGATGAGGGAGATATGACTGTTGCAAAATCGGGTGAAAAATCTGTCCAATGCATGAACAATAACTTTAGATTCTGCCCAAGGACTGAAAGTAGGCTGCTGAAAAGGTTTCGTAAGGTCTAAATTAAATATGCGGTGTTCAAATACACCAAAAAGACCCCTGGATGTCTCGGAGTGGTCGGTACGGTTGTCGAAAAAAAATCAATGAACAGTAACCGTGACCAAAAAAGAAGGGAAAAAAAAAAAAAAAAAAAAACTCAACATTGTGTACATTGTTTCCCCTTGCCCAAAACTGATCCCTAAGGCCTCTAAGGTCAATCCCAAATAAAATGAAGTACGAAATTTGATAAATACATACATATTAAAGTAGCATCAAATGAGAGTATTAAGGTACTTATTACACATCCAAAATTGGAAGTAAGGCGTACTTCTAATTACATTACATATTGTCAACTTCAAAAGACAGCTAAATCATGCCAACACTTGTATGCCAAAAATATACAAAAGATGATTAAAATGTAAATACAAGTCGAGCTATGGATGGTTCGCATCCAAGAAGAGTGTCTCCTTGCCTGAAAAACAAAAATCAACTAGGGTGAGTAATCGAATTACTCAGTAGGATGATGCATATGCATATAAACTAAAGTTTTAAACGTCTTGAAAGTGTAATATAAATGAATACATGCGGATCATACTCCCTAATGTTTAAGTTCAAGGTGAAGCTAAGGGATCATCCTAAAGCTACCTTTAAAACATTTTAAACACAATCTACAATCAGCAAAGAACTTAAACAATATTGGAACCTCCAATGCTAACAACAAGTTACAACTATCTAGTATTGTCAACTTGAAATACAATACGAAATCAAACAATAGGAATATACTTGCAAGAATAACTACCTCAAAGTTAGAAAGATAACAAGGTTTACACCACTCCAAGAACTATAACTCAACCCATACATAGACTCCGCTATGATATAACTCACGCATATGACTCTATGATGCAATATGATGTTATGTCGGAAATCACGTCCGATTAAAATGATTGGTGCACTTCCGCACCCTGCCAAGTGTGACTAGGGATTTTCATCCCTTGGACTTGTTGTCCACTTCTCAAGTTCAGATAGCTTTTATCCTTCAATCATGTCATGCATGTCTTACATTCACAACCTATAATACCATGAACTTCATGAACAAATGATGACCACCATGCTCCTAAGGCCGAAGTGGCACACACACCATGATTCACTCATATTGAAAACATATCAGTAATGTCATAATACTAAAATAATATAGACTACTCCATAGCCACACAATCAAGTCCTTAATTTGTACACACTTATACTAACATCGTGTTATTAACATAAGGGATTAAATCATGTTAGTATTGTGTGCCCTAAACATGCAACTACACAATCCCTACACTAAGTCTTCAAAACTACAATAACATTTATAATACAAGTTCTCAATGAGAATGAAAATACACTAATACAATGTTGCCTATTTTAGGTAATTCATTCATACTAACACAAGGTAAGTCTCAAACCCTTAATTATACAACAATATAGTATCAATTTCACAATTAAATTATTGACAAGATTACACAAGAATTTCATAATTACAACAATTAGAAATCACTAGAATTTAAATCACCTCCAAATGAAATAATATCAATACAAGAGGTAAATCACATACAAGCCTTTAACAATATGAAACCGTAGGTTAGTTGCATACAATATTCATCTATATGCAACCCTAGAATTTAAATAACATGCACACAATGTATATTAACCTCAAAGGACACATTAAAACACTAGAGGTATAAACATAAAACATTCCCTACCTCACTAAAGAATTGTATCTTTAGTTCTCAAAGAAATGGAAGCAAAATGAAAATCCAAGCTAAGGTGTGGTAGACAAGAGTGTGAGGAACCTTTTGTTTTCCAAGTGCAAGACCAAAAGGTGAGGGGAAGAGATTTGAAATCAAGCTATGGATGCTAGGGTTCTAAGGCTTCAATAGTGGCTTAGGTGTGAGAAATGAAGAAGACAACAATTTCTCTAGATTTTCCACTAACCTAAAAGGTTGTAAGTCACACAAACCTACACTAACACCACCTCTCTTACACACACACACACACACACCCCACTCCCTCCACTTGTCACAATCCTAGGCATCCTCACAAGACTTCATCATTAACCTACACTTGTCATCATTCTAAGTTTCCAAGTGTTCCACCCAAAAGTCAACAAATGGCCTAATGGAAGTGTGACACTTGTCACACTTTTCAAAAATTGCAAAATGGCCCTTTTTCAAAATATTCCACAAAATAATTGCAAAAATGTCTTTAAGACAAAATATCTCCAAAAGTTAATTACACAAAGTACCCCGAAAAATGAAAATATTCCGAAGAAACTATGCATTCATACCCCTAGAAAAATAAAATAAAACGAGCATTCTTTTCTACGTAATTAAATCATGCATTGACAGTAAAATAAAATAAAACAAATGCGTGCGGTGCTGGAAACCGATTCCGGACACCAAACCCTACCTCGGGTTCTATAAAACTCTAAGGTAACGCGAAAATGAATAAACAAATAAATAAATAAATAAAATATGCCGAAAAAGGGGGAAAAAAAATAACACGGTTATTACAATTTTTTTTTTTTTGAATTTTTTAAGTGAATGAATTATTTAATTTAAAAAGAGTTGATACTTTAAAATATAAGTTAGGAGAATATTTTGGACTTAAATAATTATTTTAAATTTATATATAATTATTTTACTTAATAAACTTTTAATACAGATTACTTTGTCATTTTAAGTTACCAACTTAATGTGAATGTAGGTTACCTTATTTATAGTACCTTTTCAGTACAAAAATACTTTAATCATTCCACTAATGTTATGTTTAGTGTGATTTTTTTTTTTTACTCATCAGTCAACAAAAGATCATATCTATAACATACATATTGCGGAAGGATCTCAGTAAGAATAAAAATACAATTTAATAAATTGATACAAAAAAAGGTAATTTCATGACATAACAGATGTTTGTTTTTTTTTTTTTCCTTCAGACATGACAGATGTTCGACATGCTCGAACGTTAGGAATTACTCATCTTTTTAAGTGCTGAAGCGGATGAAAGCCGGTCCAGTTAGACTCTCCTTCCCCCTCAGAACCGGTCCGAGAAACAATTCTCTCCCCCATTTGGTCCCACCCAAATCGCAGTCGCTCGGAGTTTATGGGTATCTTCTCTCCGGGTACGTCCTGTATTATTTCCTACTCCCGAGCTAAATGGAGAGCTTCTCCGTGTCTCTATCTGTATATGAAATTTTATCTTGATCTACTTATTTTGGATGTTATGTTCAAATTGTTCTTCTTGGGTTTGTTTTGATTTGATGTGTGATTGTGATTGTTTTCCACTATAGATTGCGTGTGTATATATATATAATATTTATCTTCCAGAATTTGGGTTTTTTTTGGCTCTAGGGTTGAAGTCATGTCTTTACTTGGATTATTATAATTTGTTCATTCACAGTAAAAACAGCAATTCTGGGCTGAGTTAAGTATTTCTTTAGATTGATGGCTAGAATTTGTTGGCTAAATAGATTGGGTTGGGTTTTGGCTTTTGTAGAATTTGACAGCTAATAGATTGGGGTAAAACAATGCCTTAGCTTCTGCCTTTTAATTTTCTAGGTTGATGTGATGAAATTGTGTTGCATTATGATTTATTTGAAGGATTAACACAAAAGTTCAACACCCTCGTTGTGAATATGATATGTTATTATGGAAGAATGAGAGCAATAATTGGTCGAATGTTAGCTGTTAGCATTTGATGAAGGGAAATATAAAAGAATTACAACATAAAAAGATTAGTAACTTCTAAGCAAATTCTGTTTGTAGAACACTTCCTTTTAGTTAAATGAAAAATTGTAGTTTTAATGTCTCGTATGCATGTGAGGTGCACTGCCAAGGAGCCCTATTTAGCACCGAAAGCATCTGTTCTTTAAGAGCCTACATGGTGGTGTTGCTTTCATTATTACTGAATTCCTATTTGGCTCATGCTGGTCTTTAAATGGTGTTTGGAATATGTTGTCATCTGGAGAAGAAGAATATAATATATGGATCAGGAGAATGTGATGATTGAGATCCAGAGAGGACTTCTTTGTTAAATGGACAGGAATTCAGTGAAGGCGGTATGTTTTAGAGACAGTTCTCTTGTTGGTGATCAATGTCCAAATTTACTCTTTACTTCTAAATGATGGGAAGTATCCAAATCTATTTGAAACCGAGCTATCTGAGATTCACACAATATCTACGTGTGCATGTCTTTAGTTAATTTTCAGATTGCACTGAATCGAGTAACAAAGCTAGTTGAATGTTCCATGCATGGTTCCTCCAATTTTCAATATTCAGATGAAGGAAATGATTAATCAGGGAATGGGAATTAATGCTTTTGTATGAACCTATCCAGAAAGTAAATGCTGTAAAAACAACGGGAAGGAGTGGCACCCAAAGACATTTTTGGGTACAGGAATCACGTAGATGTTTTCAGGAAGCTTTCACGTAAGGGTGGTTGTCATTGTGATGAGTAATTGGCCCAAATTGTAGCGGCACTGCTTATCATGTTGCAAATTAATGGAGAAAAAAGGCATGCCATAGATTAGAAAATGCAATTGTACCTCCTTTTAAATTTTGAAACATGTTTGTTAAATAGGAATGAGATGTGGTGGTTAGGAGATGCTAGGTTTTACTTCATTTATTAATTAGATTCATATTCATATAAGTTGTTAGTCTAAATTGGTTGGGTTTAAGAAATCAAATGATTTTTATTTATTTATTTATTTATGTTAAACAAGATAGGTTAGGCTAGAATTTTTTTTTTCCTAGTTGGTACTCAGACACACATGTCCACCGAGGTTCAAACCCCTTACTTCCTTTGGAAAGTAGGGGCCTGGTACCGCTAAGCCAAGGAGGTAACTTACCATATTAGTCGAGCTATGATAGGTTAGAATCATGGGATTTGGCTTTATTTACGCATATGTCTAAGCATAGAATGCGCATTGATTTTATTCACTTTCTATTCTTGTAATATTAATATATAAGTACCAAAGCTGTGAATGAGAGTGAAAGTATTCGTTCAAGCCTTTACATATTTCTATCTTGTATGTTTGCGCACTGTGGTTAGAAAACTTAGTATCTAGGTTAACCTTGTGAATTTTGTAGAGAGTATGTTATTGTAGCATAAAATTGCTTTAAGGTTAATTTCATCCTTGGTAATAGGGGATGCCAAAATTAATCTGGTCAGGTCTCCACAACTCAACATATAATCTTGCTAAATGGGAAGTGTATTACTTTCATGATCCTTTTGTGAGACATCAAATGTTGTCTTTGATTTTTGAGTTTGTTAATACGGTTGGGATGAGTAACAAGTTTTCATTTTTTGAAACATTATTGGAAGTTATTTTCAATCTTTTGCAGTGTGCCAATAAAATAGAGTGAGTTTCACTCTTTTGTACTAGTCAATATGTAATTCAGGTCTGAACTGTTTACACAATTTTAGTGAGTTGCTAGTCATTATGATATAATCTAAACTTGAGCATTGTCTTCAATGGGTGTGTATTCTTCCTCAGTTCTCACTTTTACACAACTAAAATACAGTCGCAAGTTATTATTATGTTTAAACTTTTAGAAGACTGAATTATGTAATTAACTCCATAATTATTTGAATTGTGAATATCAAACTAGGTCAATATTGAATTTGTTGTTTTATATAACCAAAGTTTTGTATCAAAGTTGTAGAATGAGTGCAAAGGACTTCCGACCATTGCATGCTGAATCATCAGTTTGTACTTTTTATCTTTCTTGTTTGCCTACCATTCGGTGGTTGTAGGCTTGTAACTGCCTTATTATGCCATTTTTGCCGGCCTTCTGAGGGTTTAATTATGTTATCTTTCATGCTTGCCTACCATTTGGTGGTTGTTAGCTTGTAACTGCCTTATTATGCCAATTTTGTTGCATTATGAGGGTTTAATTAAGTTGATGTTTAGAAAGCTGGATTACCATGATATATACCGTTCAATGCTACCTCTATTTTATTAATTTGATTATTTTGATATAGAAAACAAATATGTTTTGTGAGGTGGAATGTCAAGTATATGTGCGGATCCCCACTGAAAACCTGGACAGAAATTATTTGGTTCCCCAGAGAACAATTTTATCGTGTCTTTTGAAGAGCATGTTGATATGGAAGGCCACAAAGGAGCATGGTTACTTCCTTGCCGTAACTAAATTGAAGAGCATAGGCAAGGGAGAGTTTGAGGAGTCATCAAGGAGTATCTTCTTCCCGGTAGCTTTCTTCTTTCGCACCTTCTTACCTGCGAATGGAGAGATCATGCATGGAGTCGTAAACGTGGTGCATAGACGCGGGGTGTTCTTAAAATGTGGACCCATTAAATATGTCTATCTCTCGGTTCGAAAGATGCCAAATTACTACTATGTTGGCGGGGAAAATCCACACTTTATCAAAGATGATCTCTCGAGGATAGAGAAAGATGTTGTGATCCTTTTCACGGTATTCGCTGTGAGATGGACAAAGAAAAGAGGGGAAATTGAGAGAGAGTTCATGATTCTTGCTAGTTTAGAAGGCAATGGTCTCGGACCAGTTTCCATGGCAGGATATGAGGAATTGGATTTGTAAAGAAGTCGCGTGGATGTATCGTGGATGGTAAATGTTAGATAAACTTCTGTTTACTTTGTAGTTTTGCTACAGTGTTAATGGATGGTAGGTCATATCATACTTTTGTTTGTTTACTAGACTATTAACTGAAAATATAGTTTTAGATTAACCAAAATGTAAAAGATTGGGTACTATTTTCATGGGTTTATAATTTTATTTTTGTGTTTATCCATGATTCAGTGATTTGGGATTATTGGCTTGGTTATCATGGATCACACTGGATAATATTGGATGAGATGAAAACCTTAAACTGGATATAAGACTCAATATATTAAAATATCAAATTTTACGATATACTCAAAACTATCCAGATGTGTTTATTTTATTTTAACAATTAAAACAAACACAACTTTTCTTTAGGGGGTCAATGCTTCATTTTGATAGTTTGATGGCTTAATTGGTGCATTTTATAATTTAGATTAGGATATGAGGAATTAGATTTGTAAAAGGAGTTATGTGGAATGGTAACTATTAGGTGGTAATGTGATGTTTGCTGTACTGAACTTCTGTTTATGAATAATGGCAAATGGATAGGAGGGTCATAATGGCAAATGGATAGGAGGGTCATATCATACCTTTTGTTTGTTTACTAGACTATTAACTGAAAATATAGTGAACCAAAATGTAAAAGTTTGAGTACTATTTTTATCAGTGATTTGGGATTGCTGACATGGTAATCAAACTATCAAGATGAAAACAAACAAATTGTATCATACACCTCAAATCTATCCAGATGAAATTAAGACGTGTTTGTTTTGTTTTAACAATTAAAACAAACACTGTACCATAGACCTTAAATTATCAAGATGAAACTACTATCAAGATCTGTTTGTTTTATTTTAACAATTAAAACAAACACTATACCATAAATCTCAAACTATCAAGATTTGTTTGTTTTATTTTAACAATTAAAACAAAGACGTGATAATTTCAAATAGGAATGGCAATCGGTAGATATAGATCATCTACCGATCAAATTTGCCTAAATTCGTATCTGTTTAATTATTTAAATTTCACTATCTATATCGCCCCATCTACACTTGTTTTTTGTTATCTATATAAATAAATTGATAAAATCTATAAATTTCATACAAAAAAACATATATAGTACATAATGGTGTGTATATATAAAAATATATGAATTCAATAATGTGCATATATCTATAACACGCAAATAAATATATATATATATATTTAAAAGTAAAGTATATAGGACTGGGTGGGATAGATGTTTCTTAAAACTCGTGTCCGTCCGTCGTAAACGTGGTGCATAGACGGGGTATTCTTAAATTGTGGACGGTGGACCCATTAAATATATCTATCTCTCGGTTCGAAAGATGCCAAATTATTACTATGTTGGCGGGGAAAATCCACACTTTATGAAAGATGATCTCTCGAGGATAGGGAAAGATGATAATGATGTTGGGATCCTTTTCACGGTGTTCGCTGTGGGATGGACAAAGAAAGGAGGGAAAGGGAAAATTGAAAGCGCTAGTTTGGAAGGCAATGGTCTCAGACCAGTTTCAATGGCAGGGTATGAGGAATTGGATTTGTAAAGCGTGGATGGTAAGTGTTAGGTGAGTATGTGATGTTTCATAAACTTCTTTACTTCTGAAAATATAGTTTTAGATTAACCAAAATGTAAAAGATTTGGGTACTATTTTCATCGATTTATAATTTTATATTTTGTATTTATCCATGATTCAGTAATTTTGGGGGGATTGCTGACTTGGTTATGGAGTTATCATGGATAACTGGTGGATAATATTGGATGAGATAAAAACCTTAAACTGGATATAAGACTCAATATATTAAAATATCAAAATTTTGGATATACTCAAACTATCAAAATGTGTTTATTTTATTTTAACAATTAAAACAAACACAACTTTTCTTTTGGGGTTATATGCTTCATTTTGATAGTTTCATGGCTTGGTGCATTTTATAATTTAGATTAGGATATGAGGAATTGGATTTGTAAAAGGAGTTGTGCGGAATGGTAACTGTTAGGTGGTATTGTGTGATTTTTGCTATACTGAACTTCTGTTTATGAACCATGCAAATGGATAGGAGGGTCATATTTGTTTACTAGACTATTAACTGAAAATATAGTGAACCAAAATGTAAAAGATTGAGTACTATTTTTATCGGTTTATAATTTTATATTTTGTGCTTATTCATATTCATGTTTGGGATTAGTGACTTGGTAATCATGGATCAGTATGAGACGAAAACCTTAAACGGGATGTAACGTTCAATATATTAAAATACTGTCAAATTGTACCATACAACTCAAACTAACAAGATAAAATAGGTCAAATTGTATCATAGATCTCAAACTATGAAGATGATATTAAGATGTGTTTGTTTTATTTTAACAATTAAAACAAACATTGTATCATATACCTCAAACTATTGAGATTTAACTATCAACATGTTTGTTTTATTTTAACAATTAAAACAAACATAGCTTTGCTTTAGGGGTTCAATGCTTCATTTTAATAGTTTGAGTACTTGTGAATACCGTGATAATTTCAAATATGTATATAGCACAGGTTTGCCTAAATTCGTATTTGTTTAATTATCAACCAATAGTTTAAATTTCAATATCTATACTGCCCCGTTTACAATTTGTTTTTGTTATCTATATAAATAAATTGATAAAATCTATAAATTTTATAAAATGAAAATACATCGTACATAATGATTGGTATATATATATATATAAATATATATATATATATATATATTTAAAAATAAAGTATAAAGGACTAGGTGGGACATATATTTCTTAAAACCCATGCCCGTCTTGTAACCCAGGACGAATTTAAAATTTAAATCAATACCACTTCTAACAGTACATAAATGATTCTCATACTTAGCACTGGACGGGTATGTACTTTATAATTTATTTTAATATATATATATATATATATATATATATATATATACACACACACCAACCATTATGTATAATGTATTTTCATTGTATGAAATTTACAGATTTTATCAATTTATGTATATGGATAACAAAAACAAATCGTAAATGGGTGGTATAGATAATAAAATTTAAACAAATACGAATTTAGGCAAACCTGCTCCATATCTACCGATTGCCATCCCTATTTGAAATTATCACGGTGTTAATTTTAAAATTCACCAATTAAGCGCTTAAACTATTAAAATGAATCATTGAATCCCAAAAGCTATGTTTGTTTTAATTGTTAAAATAAAACAAACACATCTTGATAGTTTGAGAACTATGATACAATTTGACCTATTTCATCCTGATAGTTTGAGGTGTATGTTACAATTTGACCTATTTCATCTTGATAGTTTGAGCCTCATCTTTAAAAGTTGATTATTGGTGTCGAACTTCAATTAAGCTCAGCAGTAATATGTTTTTATTTATTTCTACTTTATTTTATGTAATCCTCTATTTCTTTTTTCAGGTAAAGTTCAGTAGTAATATGTTAAAGTGATTAAAGTGAGAAGTTGGAAGGATGAAAACCTCTGGGGAGGGGCAACTCGAATATGGGGCTGAAATTTTATCTAGAAGGGATGTGACTGGATTCTACTGGTAGAATTTGTGGTATTTGTTTATGGGATGTGAAAAAACTATCAAGGTTTGGAAGCTATCCCCTTTACTAATTATTATTAACCCTCAACTTCCATAATCTTGGAGGGTGGTAGTCTAAATTGTGTTTGAAATGGAGAATAGAAGACAATTTCATCGTTTGAACACCTAGAATGTCAAATTTGCACGCCTACCAGAATATCGTACCTAACGCCTTCTCCAAGCATAAATAAATTCGACATGAAGCCAGGGACATGAATCTAGTTTTCCCCACCATAGAGACGAGTTCTTGTGGTGTTTGTGCGTAATGCAGATGGTGTAGTGGAGTTGGCTGCTCTTTTTCACCCAAGGTAAGGGATCACCTCATTTTAGTTCATTGGAGGATATTAGAAGATGGATGCATGTCCTGTTTTTCGGAACCTTCAGTGTTTTTTTGTGCCTAGATAATGTAATGAAGTTGCACATAGGGTAGGGTTTTTTTTTTTTTTTTTTTTTAAATTGGGATTTAGGGTTACTAAACCTGTTAAAGAGATGAAATATAACGAAGGCATATCTTTTGGAAAAATAATATTTTAGTGACCAAAATTAAACAATTAGTCTTGATCACGTTCAGTTGACATATTTGCAAATGTTTTCCTTTCCAATTTAAAACTCTGCAATCCTCTAATTATTTTGCTTTCCTGTGTTGCCTGCAAATACTACTTCATCACTTCGGAAAACCTACATTCACAGAGAGCATATTGTGAACCACTATAGAGTTCCCTCATATGTTGATTGAACCATAAGACTTCGTTTTAAGTTACTATCATTTCTCTTCAATTTTCTTCTAACTTGTGGAAAGATAGCGAAGGAGGGATTTTGAGGGTAAGCTCTCTCTCTCTCCAAATCCTTTCATTTCTCTCATTAATAATAAACCAAACATAAAAATCACTATTTTTATTTTTTATTTTTTATTTTTATTAATTCATGATCTGGCATGTACATAATTTTTTTTTTTTTGGGTACTAATTCATGATCTGGCATGTACATAATGAAAACTTTATTTTTAATTCTATGAAAATTTTTATGTAAGCCTTTTGTTTGCTTATCTTCAATAAAAGTTTTATTTTTCTAAAATGTATCTTAATTTTTGGCCTGATGGTCGATTCAACTTCTGATAAAAAAAAAAAATATGAAAAAATTATAATTAAGTGACCATAAAGTAATCAAATTTAAAACTTAAATGCTGTACCAGAGATCATTTGTAATTTATTCCATAAAACACCTTTTTTAATATTTTTTTACAAAAAAAAACTAGGACAAAACTACGCAAATGTATTAAATTTGAGTCAATAGTCTACCCAAATTTCCATCCTTATCTCATCCTGGAAAATTCAGTGACCAAAATGCTTGTCATGAAAATATAAGGTCATGCTATTTTCTTGATCTGAGTGTCCAAACCTGAGTCTGTCATAGCCCTACTGGTATGACCTAGATATCAAGAAAATAGTATTTGCCTTAAGTATTTGGGCTGGTGTCCCTACTCCAATCGGTGGAGGGGACCGAAACTGAACGCGTTGTTTTTATTTTTGACTAAGGCATTGATTTGTTCAACTATAAAATAATTTATTACAACGGCATTAAATAAAAAAAATGGTTACTTTATAGTAATATTATTTAATTTTAGTCACTAAAGTATAATTTTTCTAAAAATTTGTGTTTTTGTTATGAAAATTATTTCTAGAATTTTGTCAAATATCAAATAAATAAAAAATAATACAAATATTTTATTTGAATTTTTTTTAATAACAAACCAGCACCGACCGATGAACTTATTGATTCTGTCAATCAATTGAAACACGTTATATAATTAGAATATTATATAAAATCAGATTTTTTCGGTACTATTTTGATAGGTTTATAATTTTAAATTTTATGATACATATCATAAAATTTTAAAATGAATACGAGACTCAATATATTAAAATAAGTCTTGTACATACATTTCCAACTTGTTTGATGGAGAATCTTGCTTAGTAGTTGCATTTTATAATTGATACATTCAATATTAGCGCAATTCATTACGATATCTATCTTAATGTGTAATATAATATTTTTACACTGGAATTTTCACTAATATATGAGTACCTAAATAATTTTGGAGTATATTTGTACATAAAAATAATCAAACACTATTTGAGTTTAAATTTTAAATATTCGGAGAAATAAAGTTTCCTGGTTGCTGTGGACTAAAAGACTCTGCGTACAATTTCCAAGGTATTCTAGAATTTTGACGCGCCAAAAAGATCGATCAACATAGTGTCAACCCTCGATTGATTGGTCAATCAATTGAAACAGGTGATGCACTTTCGTATTTAGAATATTATGAAACCCCTAATTTTTCAAAAAAAAAAAAAAAACAAAACAAAAAAAAACTCTCTCTATACATATAAAAATGGATTTTATGAGTGCATAATCAAATTACATTTATACCCTCAACTTTGAAGATTACCATTGAGACCGTGGCTGTAACTTCACTTCTGATTCTGTCCTTGGACAGGAGGTAACAAACTTGAACACCAATCAACTATAAAAAATCTAACAAAAATAAAAAAATAAATTTGTTTAGTTCTACTTGATCACGAAATATAATTAACAAGATCTAGGGCATTATAACTCCGAATGCAATTAAATCATATCCGAAAAAAAAAAATTCTAGGCATTATAACTCCGAGCACTTGTCAAAACACAAGTTAACTTTTTTATTATTTTTTTCACTTGGAAGTCAAAACAGAAATATATCTATAATTATATATGTATGCAAGAAATTGTCTGTTTATATTTAAAAGACAGAGATTTCCAGGTCAAATGACTCAAATCACATGATAAAACTAGAACAAGAATTGATTTCTAACCAAATCAAAGAAATTTATATCAGAAATTAGCAGTCTATATATAAAGAACAGAGCTTCCATCACATGATAAAAATAAAAATAAGAATTGATTTCTAACCAAATCCAAGAAATCCAGATCAACATTACGCTTAAACATTATCGTACCTGTTATGTAATTATATGCGTACCTTTTCTGAAACAAGGCCCAGCTTCATTAACATTTTGCACACTTGCCCATCTCTTCAATAATCACAACATATGCTCTCCTTTTGGATTGTGTTCCAAGCATTTTTATAATTACAAGTTTCTTTTTCAGCTAATGAGACCTCCCCTAACATGCCTTTAAATACCCATAAAATGGAAATAACTCTTGCTAAATTACACGAAAGTTAACTAAATCTTAGTATTCTTGTATATATTTCCAACCTCGAGCTTTGAACCCACAGGTGCCAAATTGCTCGAACCTCTGAACACAAATTTGTTTCAGGCTTTTGGTTGAAAGCCTAAGCCTTCCCCACACAACAGACCCCGAAATCACCATTCAGCATTAACTGTCTTTTGCTCAAGAAAGTGTAGGCTGTATGTTGCTCAGGCCATGATGATCCTAAGTTGCATTGCAACCATTTATCGTCCTTCGAATAGCCTGACTAACACAGCCCAGTCAACCACCATTTTTGGGTCGTGCAATTCCCTGATCCTCCCTGGGTTCTTGTCCTTGATCACTGTCATGATCATTCCGGATATCCGATGGCGAAGTCTCAGCATTTGGGTTAGAAACAACCACCACTGAATGTCCTGGAACAACGGTTGTCTCCTTTTGCTTCGAAAGCTCATCCTCATTAGTTGTGTCTACTGAAGCAACATATGATATGCCAAACTTCTGCCCATGACTTAGTCCTGGGCAGAGTCCCTGTGTACATAAAATAAAAGTCTCAGAATGCAATGAAAACATATCCAGTTCCGAAGCTACCGACACAGTTTGAGCATGTAAAAGAAATGCAAATATTGCGAATGGGGTGGAGTCCTATGAAATCACACCGCAAACCTTTAGTTTATTTTCCTCCAAATTACCGTGCGATTAATTTCAGTGGAATTTTCGACTCTACTTCTACTCTGGTGAATCTGATACTGAAGAAGTACATGGTAAGTTTAGCATATACATCCGAGGATTGCTAGTATAGAAAGAAATTTAATAATATCATTCCAGAAATTTTTTTTATGAAAATATACAAGGCTGCAAATTTCTTTGGCAAATTTTGTTTACCTTCTATATAGAAATCATCAAGAAGAAAGGTTTGGAAAATAAGTTGAAGAGAATCTGCAAATGGATTGTTTGGATATTTTAATATACATTTCTATTCATTTCAAATGCTTATTTCAAATTCTCAACATTCTCTTTGAGATCCCCATGTACATTATGTTAGCCCCAAGATTTCAACCCAAGAGAAACTTGGTAATTTTAATGATTACAACCTATTTATGTGTGTATTCAACAGCGTACTCGGGTGTACTGAATTTTAGGAACTATATTCTCTCATAGATGGTGCATCAAGCTATATTCAATTTAGAGAGCATGGATTCGACCGTATGGCTGAACCCATCACGTGGCAATGAAACTGAAACTAAATATACTGAAGATCAACACCATGGGGCATTTGGTGTTGGTGAGTGTTATAATCAATGTACAGTAATGATTATGTTTCTAACTTGCTAGATGATTTTAAGCTCAATTATAGGAGATAATAACCGGACCTAGGCTAAAAGACAAACTGTTTTTTTGGTCCTTAAGGTTATATGACTCAGCTCTTATGATTCAGTTCACATCTTGAAGCAAGAGCAATGAAGTCGTCAAGGGTCATTGTTTGGATTCACTTTAAGGAACCAAATTGCTTTAATTCAAATTAAAGTGAGTCAAAGGAATAAAGACTTGAAGCAAGAGCAATGAAGTCATCTAGGGTCATTGTTTGGTTTTAAAACATTTTACCGATTAGCAAAAACTGTTTCCAAACAGTCTCAAAGTCCTCCAACATCTATTCAAAAGAGACCATTAAAGAAAGCTTTCCTCACTTATTTTAAGCACATAAGCATTAGTTATATCTGATCAAAATCTTTAGATAGCTCTTTGAGAAAAACTAAAAAAGATTTTCAAACTTCATCTTATCCTTTGAAAAAGCTTTCAGGGAAAAAAAAAAAAAAGTATATATATCAATTATCATTGAATATTTGAAGAAGTCCTCAGAAATCACACCCTAGAAGTTGAGCTAGATTACTTGCTACATCCATTCCTGAAGAACTTCAGTGTAAAAGAGCTGATTGTATATCTATCTTTTGACAGAAACATTGTAGTGATGATTTCATTGTATTGTGCTGATGGCACTCCTCATGAAAAAGAGATTGAAGGTGTGTGGGTGCTGCCGCTCAGTAGGAAAAGATTGCCTCTAAGCCTGTAAAAAAGAGAGTTGATCCTGATCCTTTGTTCTTCTTTACCCACTCATTTAGTGAGATTGGGAATCCTCAGAAGGCGCTTCTGAGGCGAGGAGTCAAGGACGTAGACGGGCGCTGAACCTTGTAAAAAATGTTGTGTCTTGTGTGCTTGTGCGTTTGCATCTTTTTCACTCTTAGCTCTCTCTCTCTCTTTTATTTATTTTTTATTTATTATTTTCCTGGCAAACTAGGGGGAGGGGGACTCGAATACGGGCACACCAGCTCAGGGAGCTGGGCGGCCTACCAACTAGACCACTAGGTAATGCCCACTCTTAGCTCTCTGTTTACTATGTTTTTTTGTAAACCCATATGAGTTTATTTAGTTTTCTTTCAGTTAAGCACCACCCAAGACCAAACTGTTTGCCTAAGCTTACACTCGCAGTTCTTCACTCTTATCTGAAAGTGCTAAGCTAGAAAACAGAGCACTCAAACCAACCTTTAGCTAACTATTCCTTGATTTTGAAGTTAGCCTCTGTTCCGCATTTCTTCCTTAGACAGTCTTAGTGCCTTTGCTTCGAAAAGTTAGTAAGCTTGCTTAAAGACCATTCACACCCCCTCCAGCTCCTCTAGAATCATTGTTAGGGCACATTCTCTAGGTTTCAAAGCCAATGCAATGATCCTTTTACAAATGTAATTCATTATTTTTATTTATAGAAGAAGTGGGCCCATTCAAATTCCTCACCATCTCATGGGCCTTCTGAAAGAAAAAATAGCAACTCAGGCCCTCGAAGTGAAACAAAAAGAGGATTGTAATATATTTCTATATGTTTTTCTTGTATTTCAAGGTCCTTGTTTTCTTTTAATGTTTTTTTACATTAACCTCTAAATTAAGTACAATGATTTTTTTTCTTTTAATAAATAAAATATCATTAAAGAGCGCTCTAGAGGAGAGCACATCCCAGACTCAATTGCATAAAATACTGATAAGGCCCATCATACTCTTAAACTATCCTCAATAAGGCCTGTCACAAGTTCGAAACAAGGAAACAACCTCTACCCAAGTGTAGGTAAGGAGGCATACATCTGACCCTCCTTGAGACCCTGCAATGGCAGGAGCATCGTGCACTGGGCTAGCCCTTTATACTCTAAAATTATCCACAAATTCCTTCAAAGATTTATAGTTCCACCCATGAACCTAAAAAAATAAAAACTTAGAATGGAGAAGTTTGGCACCTAAATAGGAATCTCCTCTCCATCAAAGGACCTCCTATTTTTCAAATTCAACCACAAGCAAAGGGAGGTTTCCCTCCAAGCATCTCAAGCTTGATTGCCCACTATACATCCTTTCTAAGCCTCAAGCATGCCCTTCGTGGAATCCAGCATGACACCATGAACACCAAAAATAGTAAGAAAACATTACCCACCTGTCCCTAGCCACTGGACAATGCAAAAGGAGATAATTCACTGACTCCCAATACCTTTTACACACACAACACCAATTAACTACAAATTGAGGCCTCCTTAGATTACCAGATCGTCAAATCCTCCCCAAAGCTATCTTCCACCCCAAAAACAAAAGCCACTTTTAGAGGAGCTTTTGTTTGCCAAACTGCTTTCCAAGGAAAAGAAGGCCGCCAAACATCTAGAAACCCCTAATAAAAAGACTGCACTGAAACCGGCGAGATCCCACCTAAATCCACTCATTGAGGGCCTCCTCATCCACATACTGATGTCACACCAAAGCCAACAACTCTACTGTATCCTCCACCGCCCAATCATGAAGACACCACTCAAGCTGCACAGCTCATGTCACCGTCTTGCTATCAAGATAATAACAACCGACAGCTGAAATCTGCTTGCACTGCAATGCTTTAAAGTCTCGGGAAAGTACATGTAAGAGGCCTATCACCACACCAACAATCAGTCTAAAACCAACCCTGTTTTTTAGGATTTGGCGTGTCAAAGTATCTGCATCCTATTTGTCTGTATCTATGATACTTAGAATATACATATAAATCTTTTTCCATTATATAGTATAACAGTACTTAAAAAGTAAACATAGAAAATACAAATATATGGGTGCACACAAAACAAAATTATAATATAAGAGCTTATATTAGAGGTTCAACCCTAACATACTTTATACTGACTAACCTTAATCAATCCAGTTACAGAAGTGGACTTCTGAAAAGTGGAACCTGATGAAATACTGGTGAAACCCAAACCTCTATAAGATCTACTGCCATTAGTTTCCTGAGAATCCATTCTGATGTCTGGAGTATGGTGTTCCTGTCTCACATTGATGCTTCTACAGTATGCCCCAAGATATGAACAATGTTCACGTACTAGAGATATTTGTGGAGTAGCTGGCAATAGATGCCCTTCGGTGCTGAAGGTGTACCTGCAAATGGAGATTTTCTTTCAAGGAAATTGGTAGAAATGAGAAAAAAATTTGTGTCATCAAAACCAATTTTTTTTCAACTGCTAGATGCATTGAACTTACTCGAAAATGATATAGACAAGAAAATTCATAGTACTTACTTGTATGGCCCATTTTCTACGAGGTTATCTGGACCCGCAGCCAAATCAAAAAGCAGCCACAAATATTTAACCTAAATATGTTGATATGTTATTACTGTCATGCTATATATACAGGATGTGAAAAAAGAAAAGGACGGTTTAAGAAGGAAAACAACACATTCAAACACAGTATATGGCTATATGACAGGAATGCATGAACCTAAACTAATATCATTTAGTAAAAGGGACAACCTACCTTAAATACTTTCTGCACAATCAGCTGTTACCTCTGTCTCCTTGAGTTTCAAAGTAGGAAGGGAACCAACCATACATTGCTATATCCATATGGTATATATGAGGAAACTGTCTACCACCACCTACTAGGTCCAAGAAAGAAAATCTTCTATGAAGTTGAGAAGTCAAACCAACATGATCATGTTGACCTCGTAGAGGGTCATTTTTTTTCCTAATTGGGATACCGCAATAGTTTCGGGCTCATTTTGTGTTTAGGCTAAAACATTAATACACCAGAGTTGAAAGGTCACTCTGGGATACCACATTAAAGCAAAAGATGTTTAGCACATTTCAATGACTTGGTTTGGGCAAACCCAATTCATATCAATGCACATGAGTTGCAGTCTTACTGTTCCTTTCCTCTATCAGAGGTTAGTAGATATGTGCAAATTTCAAGGAATTAGAGTGAGTTACTTCAATATTAGGGCCCTTGACATATTGAGTGCTACTTTTGAGCCACATTTTGCTACAACAGAATGTTTGTTTTCTCAAACTAAAGGGCAAAACTGTAGGGCGACAGAACTGGCAAGATTGCAACTGGAGGTGGTGGCTCCCTCGCCTACCCATCAACGGGGAGGCTACAGCTTGTCGGCAACAAAAGGGTTTTATTTCAAGGTTGAGGAAGGGGGTGTGTGGAAGTGGCAGGACTTCTAGCAATCTTGTCTTGTGGGTAGGTTTGACAGAAAGGTGGGCTCTCCGGAACAAATTGGGGCATGAGCAATGAGAACTTGGAAGGTGGCAAGTGGTATCGGAGTTTCATCTCTGTCAGATTCTCTGTTACTGTTTAGATTACCCTTGTATCAAGAGGCAATTAGGGTTCCAATAGAGGGGAGGATGGGTGTGCCGTTGTTTAGGGTGGGCTGCTCTAGGATTTTGAGGAGAAAGGAACAAAGTGTTCCAGCTTAGGGCTCTTCAATTCATGTATGGTGCCAGGCCCAATTGAAGCCATTGGAGATGCGTGTGGGGGCTTCAAAAAAGTAGGGGAAGATTTGAGTTCCGACGCTGAAAAGTGCTGCTCGTCGTGAAAGATGGTGGTCAAGTTTTTGAGCATGTAACGGTGGAAGATGATATGCTGTGCTATCTAGTGGCACTGGTGGGGGAGAGAATGTCAGAACCCATGTCAAAATTAACCTCACTTGAGGAAGGGACAAGAGTATGTTGATCCTAGACGGTGACTAATGGTGTAGGAAGTGTAATAGCCATTATGACACTGGAACAAGGGTTGTGGTTTAGAGGGGGCAACAAACCGAGTTGCAGAGGGGGAGGGGGAGGGTGTCGAGAGGTAGGGAAGAAGTGATCATAACGTGCGTGGGCCGCATGGAAGGGTGAGGACTAGAGGGGTACATGGGCAGAAATTTTCAAAGGCAGGAATAAGTGGGGTGTAGATGGCTTGCGATGTGGCGATAAGGGACTGGAAAGGAAGGACGGTGGCACGTCACATGATCAAGGGTGGAGGATTTGAACCACAAAGGGCGAGGCTGAAATATTAGAAGGGGGAGTGGGCTGCATCAGTCTAGCTTAAGCGTGCAATATGAGAGGTTAAGGAAATGGAGTAACATCCATCCTCCTAGGCCTGAGCAACGTAAATTAGGCCAAGGCCAGACAAACAAAAACCAATCTCAGGGCAAAAAGTGGGATTGGGCTGCAAAAGAGAAGTGGACTGCTGAGCAAGGGGGTTAATAAATAGGCGCAACTCTTTGTATTAGGGACGCGTTCCCCTTTTGAACACTTTTCTAACCAACTTTTACTTATAAAAAGAAATAAATAAATAGGTGCAACTCATATACTCAGGCCAAGTCCAAGGTAAGAGATTTACATTCAAGACCCAATCAATCTTACTTTTCCTCATCTACATTTAGATTGGTGAGCTGTTGCAATTGAGCGTTGATACAGATGTTGTGCTACATCGAGTAATATTCAATACTGTTAAGAGAAATCTACCAAATTCTCGTTCAAACAGACTAGTGGCATAAATCAATTACTGAAGTGTGCTGAACGTTATAGATAGATCAGTTGATGACTTGGAGATCTTCGAGGGTACTGAAGATTTGGTATTAACTATATCTACAGACCAATTAGGAGTCTGAGGGTACTGAGCTGTGAACTGATTGTACATCTCTTTCTGCATAGTCGATTGATTTGTCAGACTAGGTCACACGACTTTTTAACCCTTGTTAAGAGTTTTCCAAGCTAAAATCTGGTGTGCACTTGACTGCTTTATTATTGTTTTATTATATCTCTGTTTATTTGATTAGCATAATTGGTCTTAAAGAAATTCAACCAGATTAATTGTGAATTTATTAGTTGAATTTAAATTACAAAGAAGATCGACAAGACCTATAACCAACCAAAACACCCCCCCCCCCCCCCCCCCCCCCCAAAAAAAAAAAAAAATAAAATAAAATAATCTCCCCTCCCTGCATTCTAGGTGATCAGGACAATCCTTGCGTATTTTATATTTGATTGTTACTGTACTGTTTCAATCGAATCCTATCAAATAATACTACAGTATTCTGTGAGGTAGGGAAAGACCAATTGAGGTACCTGAGATGTGTTGGTATGGCAGTGTCTGATCTCAAGTTTAACATCAAGAAGAGTGAGTTGGTACCAAAGCTGAAGGTATGAGAAATGGCTCCTGTGGCCAACATTTTGGCGTTTGGCATTGGGGTTTTCTCGAATCTTTTATGGGCTTGCCGTTAGGGGCTCACTCAAAAAGGGTATTTATTCAGGATCCAGTTGTGGAGTGGTTTGAGAGGAGACTTGCGGGTTGGAAAAACAATACCTCTCAAAAGCTAGTGGGTTAACTACTTAACTCTAATGAAAAGCACTCTTTTGGGTTTTCCAACTTAATATTTATCTTTATTCCTGATCCCTTCCTCAGTTGTGAAGAGGATTGAGAAGTTGAAAAGAAACTTTTTACGGGGCGAGATGGGAGATGAATTCAAATTTCATTTAGTGAAGTGGGAAACGGTGTGTAGTCCTATCAAGCTAAGGGGTTTTGGTGTTAGGAGGCTTGATTTGTTCAACAAAGCTCCGTTGGGGAAATGGCTTTGAAGGTTTCAGGTGGAGAGATCCAGATTGTCGAGGAGGGTCATTCCTGGCAAAGTTAGGGAGAGTGGTTGGAGCACGATTGAGGTGAGATCTCCAACAAGAGTGGGAGTTTGGAAATTCATTCAGGAGGGGTGGGATGAGTTTTCAAAATATATTCAATTCAGATTGAGGAGTGGGAGGACAAGCAGATCTTGGTTTGCTAACTGTTATCATCTTGATAATTGAAGGGTGATTTGGGATGTGCAGTCGAAGCAGCATCTTCATGATTGGAAGTTGGAGGATATTGCAAATTTTTTGGCCTTGTTATAACATTGGAGGGTGAGGACCTTGATGAATGGGTGTGGATGGTTCCCATCATGGGAGCTTTCAGGTGAGATCATATTATCAGCGGCTTATCAATGCTTAAGGACCTTCCTTCCCTGAGAAGGAAGTTTGGCGTACAAAAACCTCTCTATAAATGACTTTCTTTGCATGGACGAAAGCCTTGGGAGAATCTTAACAATCAATAATTTGAGAAAGAGGCGCCAGATTGTAGTGAATTGGTACTGCATGTGCAAAATGGATGAGGAGTCAGTGAATCTGCACTATCCAGTGGCTAAGGATGTTTAGGCCATGATCTTTACAAATTTTCTTGTCCATTGGGTTGTTCGGGTTCCACAATATGCATGCTTTGGTTGGGGGGGCATCCCCGTCCTAGTTTAACACTTAAAACTCATTCCCACCCAAAACCGTTTTATCAAAAGACCCCCGCACTCCGTTCCTTTCCCCATTTAAATTCTCCCACCCGCCCCGCCTCATTTAACAATTTTGCTTATTATTATTTTTTTAATAAAACACCAAAAAGGATTTGAGTTTTTGAAATGGTAAAGGGATAAGATACTAGGGTTTTGTGTTTTAATTTGTGAAAGGGTATTTTAGTATCTTAAATATTATATATGGATATTTAAGTAATTATGCAATATAAAAGAGGCAAGGGCACCTATCGCTGTCCCACATCCACGCGGGTTTTTATCCCCTCACCCTGTCCCTTATTAAAGTATTAAACCACCCCAAACCCATCCCAATAGGGGTGGGGTGGGACGGGGCGGGTGCCTTCTGGGTGGGGTAATTTGCCACCTCTATGCTTGAGGCTTGGAGAGGTTCTATAGTGGATAGTCAAGCCTGAGATGTTTGGAGGGCAACCACCCTTTGTTTGACGTGGGAGTTGTGGTAAGAGCAAAATAAGTAGTACTTGAGTGGAGATTCTCATTTGGATGTTAAAACATATGATATTAGGCATTCTATGGCTCCTCTCAAAGTGGCCTTCTTTGCTTGGACATTGGTTTTGGGGAAGATCTTGACCCAGGATAATCTTAAGAGGAGGAGACAGGTTGTGGTCAATTGTTGTTGCATATGTTTGAGAAATGAGGAAACAGTTGATCATTTTCTTTTGCATTGACTAGTAGCTTGGAACTTTTGGGTTCTGATGTTGACTTTGTTCGGGGTTTAGGGGGTTATGCCCAGGTCTTACAAAGGCTTGGTTAAGGCTTGGAGAGGATGTATAGTGGGGGCCCAAGCTCGTAACTTTTAGAGGGTCACGCGGCCACGCCTTTATACGTATGGTCGTGCTTATGGCTTGAAAGAAATAGGCGATCTTTTGAAGGAAAGGAGACCCCTATTGGCGCGCTGAAGTTCTCCATTATTAGTAAACTTTTTCTGTTGGGTTCTTGGGAGAAATTGTAAATTCATAGATGAGTTTGTTGATTTTTTGGACTCTCTGAGAGTTTAGAGGCCCTACTAGGTCTTGTATCTTTTTATGGGATGCGTTCCCCTTTAGAAGGCTTTTTAATACAACTTTACTAAATTAAAAAAAAAAAAAAAAAAAATAGGACTGTATAAAAAAGCGATCAAAAGGGGATTGCATCCCACAAGAACTACACAAGGCCAAATAGGGCCTCTACTCTCTCAAAGAGCCCAAAAAATCAACAATATCCTCTAAAGATCTATAATTTCTCCCTACAACCCAACAAAAAAGAGTGGTAACTTGGCATATGCTAGATGTTGTGGGGTCCACTTGGAGTCTTGAATAATTGGGGATTTTGGGAAGTTGCATCATTTATGAGCTTGGTGGGCATTATGATGCAATTAAGCTGGCTTTTATTTGCTTTTATATATGTTATTAAGTCATGAGTTAAGAATTTGAAGAGTTGAGTCTTATTGATTACCTAAATTATGAGGTAAGTCCAAAAGTCGCAAGTTAACTTCCATTTAAGTCTAAGAGACGACATTGGCAGAATCCTATAGAGGGATAGGGTGTAATATTGGTTGAAGAAATGAATGAATGAACAATTAAATATCTTATGACATTTTGTAAATTATGAGGTAAGTCCAAAAGTCGCAAGTTAACTTCCATTTAAGTCTAAGAGACGACATTGGCAGAATCCTATAGAGGGATAGGGTGTAATATTGGTTGAAGAAATGAATGAATGAACAATTAAATATCTTATGACATTTTGTTGGGAGTGATTCACAAATTATGAGGGTGTGAGACGTTCTCTATGTGTGATGCCTAGACATGTTGGTGTGACTCCAATAGGCTGCTCTTATTCTATTTCTTTTCTCTTTGATTTTTCTACATCTCTACTATCAAACCTCAAACTCCAGCCCAGAGCCACTGCACTCTTTAATTTTCAAGTATTTGAGACTGCTCCTAAAGTCCAACATCATTAAGCCAAGATGATCTCGTGAAAAAAACCCTTTGACTAGCAACCGAACTAAACCCCAAACCACACGGCCAGTGTACTGCCCATTTAAGAAGAAGGCATATTTATGCCCATTTTTGACAATGATAATCCTTTATATCATGATTCTTTCCTTTGGCAAGAAACACATACATCCATTCGTAACCTATGGGGACTTGAACCCTCACCCTTCCACTTCGGGAGGTAGAGGAAATATCATTAGGCTACAGCACTTCATGGTTATTGTGATCATTACTGCTATTGAACTTTAGGTAAGGGCTTGTCCTTTAAATACAACAGAAAGCCAAATTGATGGGTAAAATTTTTAAGACTATTCCTTACCGTCTCTGCTAGAAAAAAGCTCTCCATGTGATCTTCCTGTTTGTGAAACTCAACATCTGAAATATGACAATATCCACATTTACATCGGGCTCTAGATTGCAAGCTGGAAACCATGTCCCGTCCGACGTCAAGATATCTGTATAGAAAGTTTACACAAGGTTTCAATTTGCATGTCAAGAGAGTGCAGACACAACATCATAGCCATGCTAACTTGCACAATGGATCAGACTGTGGAAGTCAGCCACCAGCATAGACATCTTCCGGATTACAAAAAATTAAATCTGTTTCAAATGATATTTTATTGCCCAAAAAAAATTATTTTCTTTGATTCCTCCACTTCATGTTTCAGTTACGGAAGGGGAGTTCAATGCAGAAATGAGTTCAGAAATCTAGCACAGCGTATACGTCTTTGTTATTGAGGGTAATTTTAAAAGCCCTTTCAAATAAAAACGGCTTAAAAGATGTCAAATGAGATTATTAACCTGGAAAAATTACTATGGTCTATCTCATATGTCTTCTTTTTATTTATTTATTTTTTATTTATTCATTGTATGAAACATTAAAATGAAATATTAAAGTTATGAAAACACATTTCAACTAAATGATTGTTTAACTTCTAAACAGAGTTCTGCCTGTTCCTAAAAAAAATGGATTAATTGTTTCCGCAATCGATAGCAAAAGAAGTTTAAATAGAAGTTATTACTCCTCAAGGTTGCTTCCCCAGAACACCTATTTCATAATCAAGCCATTAAAAATCAGTCACAACTATTTATGCTATGATGGGAAATTCATGATTTGATAAGAAAAAGCGTAGGTGTAATATATTATGAAGTAGTCTAACCCAAACTGTTCAGCGACATGTGAAAGTGCCAATTCACAGGTCAAATGGTTTGACTTACCCGTTCAACAGTCTTGATGCAAACTTTAATGATCACATAATAAAACAAGATTACAAGAATAATGTAAATATTGGTTAATATAATAAATCGAGAGAAAATACTTTAAATTGTTTTTTAAACTGAGAGTCACAAAGCCATATTTCATTTCTGCAGCTCATTCCGGATTTCTAGAACTTGGTTGGGTGGGGCTCCCAATTACCCATTTATGCAAAAGAAAAAGTGAATAATCCAAAAATGTTAAGTTCTAGAAGATATGCATGCTTATTCGAAAAACATTATTCACATGCACCACTTTCAGTATGTGGGTGCACAACTAATAGAAGAGTTTTCTCATTTTTTAGTTCAAAGGCTAAAACCGCAGTTTGGTCCTCATGCTTACATAAACAGTTCTTTCATATAAATGTAAATATTTTTCTTCGTCTTTTTGTTTTATGTACTCTGGTTTTGCATATATGGGTAATTTGGGGTCCCTAACTTCACAGTTTAACAGTTTTCCCAGAGAGGCTTCCTTATTCCCAGGAAAAAGAAACAGAAATCCAGTAAAATGAAATGAAATTATTACATACTGATGTAACCAACCTACTATATTGAAAGGTTCTTCCCAGCTCTATGTGTTTTGAGCTATAATGTTTTGCATTATGTATAACAAAACAGAAACAAAGAACAAAACCTTTGGAAATGTGGCCATTGCCGAAAACTTTTAGTGAACTATGTTTATCTTGAACTGTAATGCTTTTAGTTTACATGATACAGCTAACAAAACAAACAGACTGCACTCAGCATCTCAGTTAAATATTATTATCAGCAAGTAACTAATTTAAGTAAAGAAAAACAGAGAAAGAGAGCCAACAAGCAAACTACAAACAAAAGGAGAATTTGAATCTAGTGAAATAGAGAGCCAAAAAGAATTATAGAACCGACCTGGGATCCCTGGTAGCTTTGTAGAGCCAATATGTGCTCTCTATTAATTCTGGACGCAGTGGGTAGCTCTTTTGACCATGCTGAATACAAATGTAGTTGCAGCAATTAAAATATATCCAGTGATACGATAATATGACAAAATAAGAAACCTTTTATCAAATAATACAACACAGCCATTGTTAAAAAAAACCATCATAGGAGTGATTTAAGCCTATGATAGAATATTGATTTGCTAGAGAATATCATTGTAGATCCATGGACCTTGGGCAGCTCAGCCTTGGGTCCCGGTAATAATGTTTCACGCATGTTTTTTTATTAATTTTGAAATCTAAAGTCCATACTTTTCTTTCTACATTCATCATTTGCATTAGCTTGGTGAGCATGACCTCTATTGCTGTGACACTATTATGAAGAGTTCAACACCAATTTCAATGTATTCATCAGAAGATTGATTTGGACGGCTAGTAGCTGAGACTGAATCACTGGTTTGAGAAGTAGATTCGTGTGGAGTACGAAGTATGATGAGGAGATCTATTGAAAAAGAGATTCGGTTTTAATAAGACCAGATTTTATGGGATATGATAGGCGTGTAAATATAGATAGTCGATGACAAAGATTAGGAAATTCTATTAGTGTACAGCTTGTAGTCACAACATGTAGTTTCCTGTTACAGCCTGTAGTTTCCTTTTTTTAGCTCTTTGTATATCCTATTTAACTAAAGCATTGTAAACCATTCTTTGTGTGGCAATATACAGATTCTTTTCAATCTTGAAATTGCCTATTTGGTATCAGAGCATCTTACCGATTCTTCTGGAAAAAAAAAACCCCTAGCCGTCTCTTTTTTCTCTCTCTTCCAAACAACCTTAATCACTATGTCTGATGACGTACCTGAGTCCAAGACCAAGACCTCTGAGTCCCAAGTCCAAAACTCTCAGACACACGGTCCAGATTACCACAATTCGGCTGAACGGTGAAAACTTACTTCGCTGGTCCCGGTCCGTGCGGATGTACATTCGAGGCAGAGGCAAAATCGGCTACCTGACGGGAGAAAAGAAGGAACCGAAACCTGAAGATCCATCCTACTCGACCTGGGATGCAGAGAATTAGATGGTGATGACCTAGTGGGTGAATTCTATGGAGGAGGACATCAATTCTAATTATACGTGTTACCACACAGCAAAAGAACTCTGGGACAATGTCAACCAGATGTATTCAGACCTGGGAAATCAGTCTCAAGTCTATGAACTAACGCTGAAACTCGGAGAGATCCGTCAAGGAGATAACAGTGTTACAAAATATTTCAACTCTCTAAAACGTTTGTGGCAGGATCTTGATTTGTTCAGCGATTATGAGTGGAAATCGCCTGAAGATTGCAACCATTACAAAAAGAAGGTGGAAGACAACCGCATCTTAAAGTTTCTCATTGGACTTAATGTCGAGTTTGATGAAGTGAGAGGCAGAATAATTGGACGACAGCCCCTGCCTTTAATCGGTGAAGTCTTCTTCAAGGTTCGAAGAGAGGAAAGTCGCAGGCTGGTCATGCTTGGAAAAAAGTTATCAAATGGTGCTGTTGAGACCTCTGCCCTGGTCGCATCTGAAGCGGATATTGGTAGGAAGCATGATGAAAAGCCCCGTCTTTGGTGTGACCACTGCAACAAGCCTCGCCATACCTATGAAACTTGCTGGAAAATTCATGGTAAACCAGCGAATTGGAAGAGTAAGCAGGAAGGCAGATTCAACCGAGCCCCATCAGCTCATGTCTTCTTCGAGGTTCAAAGAGAGGAAAGTCGCAGGCTGGTCATGCTTGGAAAAAAGTTATCAAATGGTGCTGTTGAGACCTCTGCCCTGGTCGCATCTGAAGCGAATATTGGCAGGAAACATGATGAAAAGCCCCGTCTTTGTTGGAGTCTCATTTTTGATTTTTTTGGTATTCATTGGGTTATGTCTCGGACATCTTGGGAATTGCTGGATATTTGGAGGGGCCAATGGGTGGGGGCTCAGGCGAGAGTCTTCTGGAGGGTAACCCCCTTTTGTGTTTGGTGGAGCATTTGGAAAAAGCGGAATAGAAGATCTTTTGATGGGAAGGAGTCCTCCATTGGGGTGTTGAAATTTTCTATTATTTGTACTCTTTTTTGTTGGGGTTGGGGGAGAGATTTTTCCTCTGAGGATATTGTGGACTTTTTGGGCTCCTTGAGATCATAGTTTCAGTTTTTTGTATAGCTTGGGACGCGTTCCCCTTTGGAACACCTTCTAATACATTTTACCTATCAAAAAAAAAAAAAAAAAAAAAAGCCCTGTCTTTGGTGTGACCACTGCAACAAGCCTCGCCATACCCGTGAAACCTAATGGAAAATTCATGGTAAACCAGCGAATTGGAAGAGTAAGCAGGAAAGCAGATTCAACCGAGCCCCATCAGCTCATGAAGCCGAGGCACTTCCCTTCAGCAAAGAACAGATGGATCATCTTCTAAAATTGCTGAATTCAATTCCTCATCTAGTACTCCTAATGCTTCTCTTGCTCAAACAGGTAACAACCCGAAGGCCTTATCTTGTCGTTTAAATTCCAGTGTTACCCCATGGATCATTGATTCAGGGGCTTCTGGCCATATGACAAGTTTTTCTCACTTATTTCAAACTTATTCACCCTGTTCTGGCTCTGAAAAAATCAGAATAGCCGATGGTTCTTATTCTCCTATTGCAGGCAAAGGTTTGGTAAAACTTTCAAAAATTATTGATCTTAAGTTTGTCCTTCATGTCCCTAAGCTTGCCTGTAACCTTTTATCAGTTAGTAAATTGTCCAAAGACTCTAATTGTCGTGTTATCTTTTTTGAATCCTATTGTGAATTTCAAGACCAGAGCTTGGGGAAGACGATTGGCAGTGCTAAGATGATAGATGGTCTCTAGTATTTTGAAGATGATATTTCAAGTAATTAAAAGGCTCAAGGTCTGAGTAGTTTTCGTTCTATCCCTGTTAGAGAACAAAAAATGCTATGGCATTTTAGACTAGGGCATCCTAGTTTCCCTTATCTTAAAAATTATGTCTTACTTTGTTTAAAGGATTGGATTGTTCATCTTTTTATTGTGAGAATTGTTTTTTTATCAAAGAGTCATCGTACTACGTATCCTCCCAAACCTTACCAAACATCAAAACCATTTCATTTAGTCCATAGTGATGTTTGGGGCCCTTCTAGGATCACAACTCTCTCCGGAAAAAAATGGTTTATGACTTTTATTGAAGATCATATACGTTTGTGTTGGGTGTATTTAATGAATGAAAAATCTGAGGTTGAAAAATTAATCAATTTCAAACAAAAATTGGCACTCTTCATACTGATAACGACACCGAATACTTTAATGAAGTTTTAGGAAGTTTTTTAACAGAAAAAGGAATTTTTCACCAATCCACTTGTGTTGACACGCCCCAACAAAACGGTATTGCTGAAAGAAAGAATAAACATTTACTTGAAGTTTCTCGTGCCATCATGTTTTCAATGAATGTTCCCAAGTATTTGTGAGGTGAAGCCGTTTTAACAACATATTTGATTAACAGGATGCCTACTCGTGTTCTTAACTATTTTACATCCCTTGAAAGCTTTAAAAAATCTTTTCCTGAAACTCAGATTTATTCCAACCTGCCTTTGAACGTATTTGGGTGCACTGTCTTTGTCCATTTACCTAGTAGACTTCGGTCTAAATTGGATCCTCGGGCTGAAAAATTTGTATTTGTTGGGTATGCTCCGAATAAAAAGGGGTACAAATGCTTCATTCCGAAAAAAAAAAAAAAAAATGTTTATCAGTATGGATGTTTTTTTTCTAGAAAATTATCCTTATTTTCAGAAAACTTTTCTTCTAGGGGAGAAAGAGAGTGAAGAAAAATTTTGGGAAATTTCTACTAATATTCCATTACCTAAAACTATTGTCTCACACTCTATTACTCTAACCACTGATCTTTTTAAACAAGGAAATGATGTTCTAGAATCAGGAAACCCGGGGCCTCCTAGTCCTAATCTGCCGAGCCTTACTGAATCTCCAACAGGGGGAGAAATCCTACCAACGGTTCCAAAAAAACCGAATCTTGAGCTTCTGATTGATAACAGAAAAAAGACTCATCAAAAGAGTAAAGAGTCTACTATTGTACCTGAGCAAGGCCAATCAGAGGTCCCGAGCAATGACTCCCAGAACACTCAAGGTACTCTAAATCCTAACTTGTCTGCAGTTGTCCCTACTATTTCTGATCGTACAGAGTCACCTAGCCAAGTTCCTGTAGACCTTGATATCCCAATAGCTGTTAGAAAAAGAATCCGAACCTGTACCCAGCATCCCATTGCCAAATACTTGTCTTATGATAAACTTTCCATAAACATAGGGCCTTTACTTCAAATATTTCTCACTTGTTTGTTCCAAGAAACATTCAGGAAGCACTAGATGATCCGAATTGGAAATCAGCAGTGTTAGAGGAGATGAATGCTCTTAAAAGGAGTGGAATGTGGGAGATAATTGACTTGCCCAAAGGAAAGAAAACTGTTGGGGTGTCAATGGATTTTCACTATTAAGTGTAAAGCTGATGGTAGTGTGGAAAGGTACAAGGCAAGACTTGTGGCGAAAGGTTTTACGAAAACGTACGGCATTGATTACCAAGAGACGTTTGCTCCTGTAGCAAAAATAAATTCTATCCAAGTCTTATTGCTGTTGGCAGTCAATTCTAACTGGCCATTACATTAGTTGGACATAAAAAATGCCTTTTTAAATGGAGACTTGGAAGAAGAAGTGTTTATGAGCTTGCCACCTGGGTTCGAAGGAAAACACGGTCAGAGCAAAGTCTGCAAACTCAAAAAATCCCTGTACGGTTTGAAACAGTCTCCAAGAGCGTTGTTTGAACGCTTTGGAAAGGCTATGAAGAGTCATGGGTATCATCAGAGTCAGGCAGACCATACCATGTTCTACAAACACGGTGAGGAAGGGAAAATTGCCGTTTTAATTGTGTATGTGGGTGATATAATTTTGACAGGTGATGACATTGAAGAGTTGACCAGACTGAAGAAGAAACTTGCTAAAGATTTTGAAGTCAAAGATCTGGGAGCATTAAAATACTTCCTTGGAATGGAATTTGCCAGGTCAAGAGAAGGAATTTTCGTGAATCAACGAAAATATGTACTTGATTTGCTTAATGAGACAGGACTACTCGGGTGTAAAGCTGCTGACACTCCAATTGAAGTTAACCTGAAGTTAGAAGCTGCCGAACCCGAGAAAATGGTTGATCGTGAAAGATATCAAAGATTGGTGGGAAGACTAATTTACTTATCTCACACACGCCCAGATATAACATTTGCAGTCAGTATGGTGAGTCAGTTCATGCACTCTCCTGGACAGGAACACTTTGAAGCAGTGTACAGGATTCTGAGGTACTTAAAGGGCTCACCAGGTAAAGGACTTATGTTCAAGAACCAAGGTCATTTGCAAGTGGAGGTGCACACAGATGCTGATTGGGCAGGCAGTATAGTTGATAGACGATCTACCTCAGGATATTGCACCTTCGTTGGAGGAAACTTAGTCACGTGGCGAAGCAAGAAACAAAATATAGTAACGAGGAGTAGTGCAGAAGCCGAGTTTAGAGCACTCGCCCATGGGATTTGCGAAGCTATGTGGTTAAAAAGACTCCTTGAAGATTTGAAGGTTACTGTTTCTCCTCCAATGAGAGTCTACTGTGACAACAAGGCTGCCATTTCAATTGCTCATAATCCAGTCCTCCACGACAGAACCAAACATGTGGACGGTTACAAACACTTTATCAAGGAAAAGCTTGACTGTGGTATGATTTGCATTCCTTATGTCTCTACTACTGAACAAGCTGCAGACATCCTTACCAAAGGACTACACAAGAGACTGTTTGAAGTTTTAAGAAGCAAGCTAGCTATGAAAGACATCTACAAGCCAGCTTGAGGGGGAGTGTTGAAACAGAGATATTCGGTTTTAATAAGACCAGATTTTAGGGGATATGATAGGCGTGTAAATATAGATAGTCAATGACTAAGATTAGGAAATTATGTTAGTGTAAAACCTGTAGTCACAGCCTGTAGTTTCCTGTTACAGCCTGTAGTCACAACCTGTAGTTTCCTTTTTTTAGCTCCTTGTATTTCCTATTTAACTAAAGCATTGTAAACCATTCTTTGTGCGCCAATATACAGATTCTTTTCAATCTTGAAATCGCCTATTAGATCTATGCTTTCTTACGTGTAATGATGGTAATTCTCAACCCACCATTGGCTTCTCATTAGAGGAAAAGGCCCTATAAGCGTTCTAAACTACCAGAACATCACCAATCACAACTTGGAGATTGAAGAAAACATTATAATAATCTTAAATCTGTTCCAAAACACCACAAGTTCAGAGTCTACTAGAACTTCAGCAACCACAATGACAAATGGACTATACTTCAGATCATGGGTTCATTTGTAAGAGGCCCATATGTCTTCACATAGAAGACCTAAATATAAATTTATAGAAAAATTAATAAAAGAATCATCCAAGACTTAGATTAACTCTATAATAGCCATTTTAGATACCTGAACACTTAGTGTCGCAAGATTAAAACCCTCTGGAGTGAAGCCATATCTTTTCCAGACACTAAAGAAGGCTGTATGTGTTCGAATTGCAGGATCGATGTCCCCTGCTAAAACCTTAGAAATAAAATGCAATCAGTTTCAGTTACACTCTAAACAATAAAAAATTTAATTGACTATGAATCAATTTCATATTTTGTAACAAATTTTGTAGTAGATAAAAAGATATAATTAAATTACCTGAAGACCAGGCCAGAATGCCTGTAAACTGTTAAATAATGGCCAGACGAGGGCAGCCGAATTCATATTTACCTCCACATACCTAAAATATTAAGAAAATAATAACCCATTACAGGGGTTCAAACTTAAAAGATAAAATATGAAACAAAAAATAAAATAAAATACGGCTATAACAAGGATGAGGAATTTAGTGGCATAATGGCCACAATCTTTTACCAAGGATCATTGAAAAGATAGTGCATTGCGGCCCCATAAGCTTCTTGAAAGATGAATAAGTATTCTTCATCTCCAAATAATAAATAAGCCTGAAGCAATATCATAAATTGTCAAAGGCAGGTCAGCATGCAATTCATTACTTCATGCTGAGAGAGAGAAAGAGAGAGAGAACAACAAACAAAATTTTTAAGTGGAGACAAGTGGCAGCACCCTTTGAAATTAATATAAGAGGTATGGGAAAGGGTGCTTCCATGGCACAAGCTTTGATTTGGCACAAGTTAGATGATGTGGGACCAAGTACCAACTTGAGACCTTGCATAATTATGGTTGAATCTTGCAAAGTTGTATTAATGCATATTTTATCTTTATATGCTGCTGGTTGAGTTTTATGCAAGTTTTGGCAATCAAAAGTTTTTTTGAAGTTTAAGTTTTCTAGACTTTTTTTTTTTTTTGATAAGTAAGAATTGTATAAAAACGCTCAAGAGGGGAGCGCATCCCAAAGGACCAGCAAAAAACAAAAACCACTAAGCCTTCAAAGAGGCCAAAAAATCTACAATGTCCTCTATAGATCTATAATCTCTACCCGTAACCCAACAAAAAAGAGTGGAAACAATGGAGAATTTTAGAACAGAAATAGGCGACTCTTTTCCCTCAAAGTATCTCCTGTTTCTCTCAAGCCAAATGCACCACCAAATACAAAGAGGCGCAGCCCTCCATGCCTCTCGAATGTGAGCCCCCACAGAACAGCCTTTCCAAGCCTCAATCAAACCTCTAGAAGAGCCAGGCATGACCCACAGAAAGCCAAACAGGCCAAGCATCAAATCCCAACATTCCTTGGCCAAAGGACAATGCAAAAGAAGATGATCCACTGACTCTTCATCCCGAAGGCACATTTAACACTGATAAACCACCATCTGCAATTGGGATTCATGGTTCTTAATATCCATTAGACCTATGCACCCTCATCTAGGTCTAATAGGAGATTGTAAAACAAACAAAAGAACTACATATTATTTCATTGATTTGGACAAGGTATGATAGAGTGCCAAGAGATAATTTGGTGGGCTTTACAAAGAAAATGGGCTCTTTAAAACTTATAAAGATTATTCAGAATATGTATAACATGACAAAGACTAGAGCTTGTACCATATGTGGAGAAACTAATGATTCTTTTTATAAAAGTAAGGTTACAACAGGAATAGTGCAAAGCCCATATTCATTCATAGTATTAGATTTAGATAATGAAAGATGTATAGAAGACATCTCATGGTGCGTGTTATTTGTTGATGATATAGTACTATTGGATACTTCGAAAGAAGCCCTAAGAACAAATTTGGAAATATTGAGTCACTGAAGTTCTTCATTCTTAGCACTCTTTTTTGTTGGGTTCTAGGGAGAAATTGTACATCCTTGGATGAGCTTGTAGAGTTTTTGGATTTGTTGAGGGTTTAGAGGCCCTATTTGGCCTTGTGTTGTTTTAGAGGGATGCGTTCCCCTTTTGATCACTTTTAATGAATTCTTACTATTTAATGATGATGTAACTAGTTGAATTAGATGGAGACAAGCAAGTGGTATTCAAAGTGATAAAAATTGCAGAATAAATTAGAAAAGAAAATCTATAGGACGGTTACTACGTGAGTAATATTATACGGAGCTAAGTGCTAAGGCACTAAAAAAAGAAACAAGAGCAAAAGAAAAGATAAGATTGACAATGAAAATATGAAAAAGAGATTAGGAGTAGCGCCAATTAGTGAAAAATAAGACAAAGCAGGTTTAGATGTTATGGACACATACAACGTAGGTCCATAAACATATCACTAAGAAAGGAAAAAATTACTTTGCATAGAAGGTAAGGGACAAAGAGGCTACCTAAAACATACTTTGGATGAAATAATCGGAATTGACATTAACAGGTAATATAAGAGGTGATATGGCTTCTAATAGAATTAATGGAGAGAAAATTTCATGTGGTCAACCTCCTTTGTATCAGATAAAGGCAAGGAAGAGAACAATTATGAATAATAATCATAGAGCAATAGGGGGCTTCACGATTCCAACTCAAAAGAACTAACCTTTAACAGATACTCATAGAAAGAGTCAATACTGGTCCCTATTCCAGCATCCTGCAAAGAAACAAATAATGTAATTGTTGCGAACTTCATACAAACAAATTAGAAACTTCCATATAACATAGAGTTCATTCATGTGAGTTATTAGCAAGTGAACAAAATATAGAAAAACGTAATGATAAATGTCAGGAATCAGTAAATAAAGAAAAATCTACCCACTGTTGTTTTGATCAAGTATATTAATTTCCTCTTAGCAGTGTGTCCCAGTAAGTAGAAAATCATGTAAGATGTTTATGGTTATTATCCAGATCTGAGCAAAAACATATCAAATAACATGCAAAAAATTGCAAATAAACTTTATTAGAAAGAAAAAATAATTATTTGAATAACAAGTATATATATGATAAGAGATTGAAAATTTCTAGACTAGATAACAGCACTGACCAATCTTTAAAAAAATTTATAGTATCAAAATAACCATATCCCATTTAGTGAATAGATGGAAACCTATGAAAGCACACTTCAAATGTATGTAACTACAAAATTCCGGCAAAAACTTTATTAGAAGGAAAAAATAATCATTTGAATAACAAGTATATATATGATAAGAGATTGAAAATTTCTAGACTAGATAACCAATCTTTAAAAAAGTTTATGGTATCAAAATAACCATATCCCATTTAACGAATAGATAGAAACCTATGAAAGCACACTTCAAATATATGTAACTATAAAATTCCCACAAACCATACAAAATTTGTCCATCACCACATGGCATCACATCTTTTCTGATAAACATAGCCTATAATGGGACGGAGGGAGTACTCAATATGCTCCAAATTCAGAAACTAGTAATTTCATCTCACATGTCCTATGACAATATAACTAGGTTAGAGAGACTGCTACCTTTTGTGTCCATTCACCTGTAAAAACATCAATATGAGCGCCAACTAGGTTAATCTTTGAACGCCGGGCCCATATTCCACGCACTGCATTCTTCGCAACTTGCTCAAAAACTGCATTTCAATGACGATGGATAAAATAGTATACAGAAAAGGAAAAAACCATTTCTACAATAAGTACAAAGGTTCCAACCTCACCACCACCACCCCCCTCAAAAAAACATAAAGAAAAAAAATATATGTAGAGAATTTTTTTTGGTTTTTTTCTTTTTTTAATCCACATCACCTTTTCTTTTCTTTTTTTAATAATAAAAATCACAAAATAATTGAAATTCCAATTCAAAATAAAATTGTACTGGGTAAATAATCATTGAAATTTCTCAGTTTTCTTGTTCAAACATCAAATTTGAACAGAAATAAAAAATAGAAAATGACTTGAACCAAAAGGATAACTTTTTTCTAAAAGCACAAACTGTTTGCAGGCCTTTTTGTTTGGGTGGTCTTGGGTTTAGGAGGTTGGACCCTTTCAATAGGGCGCTCCTTGGTAAGTGGTTGTGGAGATTCCGTAGCAAAAGACATCGTTTGTGGAGAAGGGTTATTTCGTGCCGTTTTGGGGAGGAGAGAAGGGGATGGTTCTCGAGGCTGGTCAGATCTGCTTTCAGCGTGAGGGTGTGGAAATCTATTCAGAAGGGCTGGGATGAGTTCTCTAAGCACATTAGATTCAGAGTTTGGGAGGGAAGGGACGTCCGGTTTTGGGCGGATGCTTGGTGTAGTGATCGACTGTTGTCTTGTTTGTTCCCAAGACTTTTACATGCTTTGGTAGCAAACTATTATCGGCTTGATAGCGGTAGGCTTACTTGGGACGTGCATTTTCGGCGAGCTTTTCAAGATTGGGAGTTGGACGATGTCTCTGTCCTGCTGGACCTTTTGTATAGACGGGAGGTGGATGATACAGGTTCGGATTCCTTGACTTGGGTGCCTTCTCCTTAGGGGAGGTTTGAGGTTCGTTAATTGTTCCTATGTCTTTCCGGGTTTCATGGTTCCAACTTCTTGTGGAAGATGGTTTGCCGCTCGAAGGCTCCTCTCAGGGTGGCTTTTTTTGGTTTGGACTGTAGTTTGGGGCAAGATTCTGACTTTGGACAATCTAAGAAAGAGAAAACGGATCACAGCCAACTGGTGTTGTCTATGTAAAAATGATGGAGAGTCCATGGATCACCTTCTTTTGCATTGCCCCGTGGCTCATGACTATTGGAGTCTTATTTTTGGTCTGTTCAGTATTCATTGGGTTATGCCTCGGTCTTCGAAGGATTTGATTGATAGTTGGAGAGACTACAGTAAGGGCCTATGCCCTTGATTGGTGGTGCATTTGGAAAGAGTGGAATAGAAGATCTTTTGATGGGGAGGAATCCTCCATTGGGGTGCTGAAATTTTCTATTATTAGTTCTCTTTTTAGTTGTTGGGTGATGGGGAGAAATTATATATCTCTTGATGAAATCGTGGATCTTTTGGGTTCCTTGGGTCCATAGGACCCTCTCTTTGGCTTTGGCCCTTGTATAGCTCTTGGGATACGTTCCCCTTTTGAACGCTTTTTATTACACTTTTACTTGTCAAAAAAAAAAAAAAAAAAGTCGGGAGAAAAAGGAGTGCAAGCCAAAACCCACTACATCAAATCAGATTGCAAGTATAACTGGTTTTATAACCATTCCTGAGATTGAGATCATTACAAAATTGCATCTATGTATAATATAATAACATCCTGCAGATGAATTATGTCCATAACAGGCACAAGAATATGTTTTCTATCAAAAAGAATGAATGCAAACAGCATATTTTCCCAGAGAAAAAGAATCAATTGCAGTCCTACCAGACAGAAAATAGTAAAACTTACTAGGATCGTTGGTTAAGCGGCTAAGTATTCCAAATTCTAATGTCAAAGTCCCACCACCAGCTGTTGATGTTATCTATGTAAAACAAAAATGGTAACTTTACAATTTTTATAAATAAGAGAGAAAGACAAATAGAAAATGTAAACTTTGAGTAACTAAGAAAAAACAAATGTAAAGTTTGAGTGAAACAGTTATGCATTAGAAGTACTCATGTCATGGTTAAAGTTTTGCACCTTCATTTGTTGATTCTTCATGACTTGTATGATTATTACATGTGGTTAGGTATGCATGTTTTGTTTGGGCATTTGCCTAGGTGCTTATGAGTATATTCCTAAGCTTAAGGATTTGGGGCAAGGTTGAACCCTTAAGGTTTCATTTTAATTTCTGCTATACCCTTGAGGGCAATACAGAAGGTTCAAAAGAGGGGTTGGTTGTTAGAGGGAGACCGAATCAGAAGGGAGGGTCTGGCAGCAGAGGTCGTTCTAGGTCTAAGAACAAAACAAAGGTGCTGAGAAGCTACACCTGTCACAAGGATGGACACTTCAAATTAGACTGTCCGGAGCATAAGAAGGGGAAGGGAAAAGAAAAATCCTCTGAAGCTGGTGACATGGCTATTGCAAAGGGTAATGATTTAAATGGAGAAAACGTTGTCACAATTTATGTTAGCGGCTCTAGTGTTGAGCAGATTCTTGATTCGGGTAGCTTGTATCACATTTGTCCAAAGATGGACTGGTCTACCTCTTATTGGTCTACTGATGGGAGGTTATAATGGGGAACAATGTGTCGTGCAAGGTTGTAGGTATTGGTAGAGTTCAATTCATCATGTAAGATTGCATAGTGAGGACATTAACTGATGTCAGGCATGTAAGAACTTGATTTCCCTAGGTACACTAGATTCCATCAAGTGCATTTACAAGGCTGGAGGTGGAGTCATTCGGGTTTCAAATGTGCCCTTGTGGTGATGAAGGGACTAAAGAATCACGGTTTATATCTGCTGCAGGGTAGCATAGTCACAGGTTCAGCTGCATTATCATCCTCATATTTGGATTCAGATACTACCAGATTTTAGCATATGAATGAGGGGAGACATTTTGAGTAAGTAGGGTCTGTTTGGTGCTCAGAAAACTGGGAAGCTGGATTTTTGTAAGCATTGTGTCTTCGGGAAACAATGTAGAGTGAAGTTCAGTACAAAAATCCAAAGGACCAAGGATATGTTGGATTATATCCATTCTGATCTTTAGGGTCCCTCCCGGGTTACTTCATGCGGTGGTGGTAGTTATATAATTATATGATGATGCTAATTGACTACTTTTCTCAAAAAGTTTGGGTTTATACACTAAAGCACAAGAATGGGGCTTTTGTCACATTCAAGAAGTGGAAGACCTTGGTTGAGATGCAGACTGAAAAGCAGGTCAAGCGCTTGAGGACAAACAACATCTTGGAATTCTGTAACGAAAAATTTAAGGAGTTCTACAAGGATCGCGGGATTATGAGACGCCACAAAGTGAGGAAAACTCTGCAGCAAAATGGAGTTACAGAGTGGATGAACAGAACACTGTGGAGAGAGCACGGTATATGATGTCCAATGCTGGGTTAGGCAAAGTGTTGGGTTGAAGTAGTTAGCATAGCTTGTTACTTGGTGAACCGGTCTCCAATGACAGTAAGACTCCAGAGGAGGTATGGTCTACCTGCTAGTTACAACAATCTAAGAATATTTGGCTGTCCTGAGTATGGTCCTATTAATGAGGGGAAGCTTGAACCAAGGGCTAAAAAATGAATATTTCTTAATTATGAGGCCGAGGTCAAGGGATACAGATTGTGGTGCCCAAATACTATAGGAAGAAGCTAATTGTTAGCGTGGATGTGACCTTTCATGAGTGTGATGCTTATTCCGCGAAAGGAGGTAGTTGATTCAGCGAGAATTTATGGAGTTAGTAAGTAGGTGGAGCATGTAGAGGTTTGGTTAGAGGATGTTCTTTATCGGTCAAATGATGAGAAGGTGCAGTTTAGAACTGAGAAAGAAGACGCATAGTTGCAGAGCTACAGCGTAGCTAGAGACAGGTTGAGGAAGGAGGTTGGGCCACCTAGCAGTATTGGTTTTCATATATTGATTCGGTTGCTTATGCACTTCGTGTGGCAGAGAGTATTGATGGGCAGGTACCTCATATTAATATGAGGCCATCACGGGTGGAGAATCAGCACAATAGTTTGTTGCCATAAGTGAGGAGATCGAGTCTTGGAGCTATTTGAGAAGCCCAAGGGCCAGAAGATTGTAAGCAGTCAATAGGTATTCAAGAAGAAGGAAGAAACCCAGGAATGGAAGATGCAAAGGTTTAAGGCAAGCTTTTTGGCAAGGGCTATACAAAGAGGGGAAGGGGTAGACTTCAATGAAGTTTTTTCTCCTGTGAAGAAACATAGCTCAATCAGAGTGTTACTTGCTATGGTTGCTCTGCATGATTTGGAGCTTGAGCAGCTTGACATCAAGACTGCATTCTTGTATGGTGAGTTGGAAGAGCATATTTATATGCATCATCGCGAGGGGTTTGAGATTCTAGGAAAAGAAGACCGTGTTTGCCTACTGAAGAAGTCCTTGTATGGGCTGAAGCAGTTCTCTTAGATGGTGGTAGAAGCAACTTGATACCTTTATGATAGCGGCTAATATAAAAGTGAGTTAGACAATTGTGTGTATCCCAGGAGGCTCTCAAATGGTTCGTTTGGGTACTTGTTGCTCTATGTTGATGACATATTGATAGCTTGCAGGAACATGTCGGAAATCAACATGTTGAAGGCTTAGCTTAGTGGTGAATTTGAGACGAAAGATCTTCATGCCACAGAGAGGATTTTGGGTATGAAAATTCACAGGGATAGAGGAGCGGGCAGATTGTATTTTTCCCAGAAGAAATACATTGAAAAGGTGTTGGAGCGCTTCGTTATGCAAGCATCAAAACCAGTTAGTACTCCAGGCCCACTTTAGACTTTCGGCAAAATTGTCACCATAGACAGAGGAGGAGGTGGAGCACACGTCTCTCATTCCTTATGCTAGTGTAGTTGGTAGCATCATGTATGCTACTTTTCACATTCGGTTAGTATAGTGAGCAGATACATGAATAGACCTGAGAATGTTCATTGGCAGGTTGTGAAATGGATTTTTCAGTACTTGCAAAGCACTCAGATATTGGTTTAGTCTATGACAGAGGCAACGACACATGTGAGAGTGTTGTTGGATATGTTGATTCGGATTATGCTGGAGATCTTGATAGGAGGAGGTCCTTGACACAGTATGTCTTCACTCTTTGTGAGAGTGACGAGTTGGAAAGTGACTTCGCAGTTTACGGTTGCATTGTCTGCATAGTTGTTAAAGGTGCACCGGGCACACGCCTGAGGTGCAAGGCGCTACCACAGCGCCTTTACATGGCCAGACAAAGCGAGTTAAAGGAGTCGCGCGCCTTTGATATCAGGCGCTCCCGGCCCAAGGCGCCATAGAGGAAGTGAAAGAAGCTATATGGATGAAAGGCTTGGCCATGATTTGTGCTTTGCGACAGCTAGAGTGCCATACATCAGACTAAAAATCAAATATTCCTTGAACGAGGAGCAAGATGTGGTTGCAAAGGGTGTTATTGCAGTGAGAAAGATTGGGATAGCTGAAAATCCGGCGGATATGATGATTGAGGTCATTCTGTCAAGTTTAGACACTGTCTGGACTTGATTGGTGTTTGCAGTTACTAAGGCCCTTAGAGGCATGTGAAGAGGCAAAAGGAGTAGTTGGAATTGTGGAGCTTGGCAGAATTAGAGCCAATGTGGAGATTTGTGATGTTGTGACCCGAATTTTGTTTTGGCTATTTTTGACCTGAAAAATGGGCTGTGTGGGCCCAAGCCCACCAAAGCCACCCGTTTTTTGATTGCGCGTCTTGGACCCTATTTAGAATAGCCATTTAGGGTTTGGAGTGTGATAACTAGAGAACACTTAAAATTGAAAGAACAAGAGTGAGAGAGAGCTAGGGCTTGGGGGCTAAAACTTGTAATCTCCTATTTTTCGCATAGTGAAATCTTTCACCGGATCTTCACCGTGGACTAGGCTTACACGAACCACATAAATCTTTGTCTTCTTTGTGTGTGGCGTGTTTATTTTTTTGTCGTGATTCTTGTTTTGTTCCTAGTTTGTTGCATATGCCATAACAGGCTTCAATGTTTTTAAAATATTGTGTCTTTGCTTTATTTTATTTTTTAAGTGATTGCAATTGAGATACTTGATCAAACTAATTAATTGACTTTTAAACAATGATCAACGGTAATTCAAAAGTTTTAGATAGTAGAGAAATAGCTCCATAAGACCTATCCACACCCCTCTAGGTCTAAGTCACCGCTCACAGCCGCACACTCTAACCTATCATCGCCCCTCTAGGTCTGGTCCTTGCGATTCATCAAGATGAAATGCATTAGGGTTTTCAGTTGTGTAACAAATTTTGAATGGCTTTGGTTACAGTTTAGAATGAATTCGTAGTTAAAGTTGTGGCAACTAAATTCTGAGATGGATAGAGAAGCGAGTGTTCCACACTCCCATGAAAGAGGGAGAGAAATGGTGTCTCAAGGCATGAAGATGGAGAGGGAATAAAAAAGTAGAGTGTAAATTAACAAAAGTAGCCCTCACTTTAAATTTTAGTAAGAAAGAGGGGCTTTCATAGTCAAGTTCATGTGGGACAAGCTTACCCGAGTACTTCAAATTTATAAATTGTCCGTGAAAGAAAGATTATATTATATGTGTTGACTAGCCATAGAACATCATTGGTTAAGGGTCAATACGAAGGATGACATCATGTGGATGTCAAATTACAATATCAATTATATAACAGGGAAAAAGATGTGGTGGGTCCGTGTGAAACAAGAGCTCGAATATTATATAAAAAAGCATGTGCCTCACAAAAATAATAATAATAATAATAATAATAAATAACAAATAAATAAATCTAAGAGGCATGCATGCATGGGCCATTCTTTTATAGGTCAAGATTTTGGGGCAATCAACTGTCTATGATATCAGAACTTTGGATCTAGCAGGTACAGGGTTCGTCTCTGTTTGCAAATGTTACCCCCTCTTTTTGTCTATATCTACTTTGTTGTTTTGCAGTTTCACAACATGTGAGAGAGAGTGTGAGGGATTGATATATATACACACACAAATACACATACACATACTTGGTTCATTCCTGAATCGCTTTCAGCAATTGATTGTTGAACAATTTTAAAACAAAACAAACTTTAAAGTTAAAGAGGGCAAGAAAATACAGAGTCTTTGCCTTGCTTTCATTTTCATCAACTCCATGCAGTAGATTGACAGATCCAAATGGAATTCCTGCAGCACGGATAGCTTATAAGTGTCATAATATGATTGATGTGGGATTTAATGAAGAAAAGTTAAATTTAGTATTTGAAAAAAACATCTAAACTTTACTTGAAAGTGAATGAAATAAACATGTACTCATAAGCCATTAGAAAACAACAACTTGAAGCTTCGCCGGTGTGTTTTTGAGCTGAAAGCAAGTTTCATTTGCTAAACACTAACCAGAAAGGGCTGAAGGAAGCACTTATTGAGCCTACTGCACAAACTGATTCTTAAAGTTCAACTGCTGCTGTCTGCAGAACCAAGAAGCTGCTCTACTGTTTTAAATTCTGTGCGCACTAAGCATAACTCCTATTCTTGTGTATTTTGTGCTCTGAATCATATTTCATTCTTGTGAATTGAGTGTTTGTATTGGTGAGAAGGGTGTAGTGAACAGGGGGAGGTTCACAAAACAGTGTGGTGGCTGCAGAGTGTCAGACACTGCCAAGAGTGTGTTTTGTACTGATTTCTCAACATAGTGTGTGAGGATCACCATGTAAATCCTGGTGTTTGATCTTTGTGTGTGTTATTTACACATTTTGCTCTTTATTTAGTTTACCAAGTGTTTGAGAAACTAAAAAACAGTAAACAAGAACCAATTCACCCCTCCCCTCTTGGTTCTTCAGAAAACTGGTATGAAAATATCTCATATATTGTTTGCAGACAATCTCTTTATTGTGCTTAATGCTGAGTTGGGGAATGCCCATACAATTAGAAGACTTTTGGACCACTTTGCAAAGATATCTAGCTTGGCTGTTAGCTTTCCAAAATCTGCTGTGTTCTTCTCTAGATCAATCAGGTGGAGTGCCCTTCTTAGAGTTCTGGCTTGTAGAGTGGGGTCTTTCCCCATGACCTATCTGGGCCTTCCTTTCAAAAACAAAGGGATTAGAGTTGCTGATTGCAATATTGATGGATGAAGTCTCAAGTAAATTAATGCTTGGCAGGGTCTCAAGCTCTCCATGGCTAGTAGGATTGAGTTGGCTAGGACTGTGCGAACCTCTCTTGTGTACTACTAGTGTTCAGTCCTCCCACTTCCAAGAGTCGTCATAAATTCGATTGAGCAGAAGATTAGGAAACTTTATTTGGGATTCCTCTGATAGAAAACAGATCCCTTAAGCTGGAATAGGGTCTGTAGCCCAAAGAAAGAAGTAAAGGTTTGGTTTGAGGAGAATCAAGCATATTGATTCTGCTTTGACGTGTTTATTGTTGTGATAATACATTAGAAGTAAGTGAGAAACTTAGTTGCAGTGTTGGCAAATTTTGGTGTCAAAACGTGATTAATCGAGTTGCATTTTTATGATTGTCTTGAGTCTCAATTCTAGAAGCTCAACAAGTGATCCAAATGAGCTCCGTACCAGTTGACAAGCATTGAACATCATTTAGGACAAGCAAGTGAGTACGTGTGAGTACACTTGTTTTTTAATATTGGATTGAGTGCAGGATTCTGGAAATGGGCTGTGTCAAATAGAATGCTATTTAACCAGTTGGTCATTTTCCCCTACCGTTTGTGCTTGGTTCTGTTGAATTAGTGGTCATTCTAGAATACTCTTAAAATGGTTGATCATTTTTTTCCAACCAGTTGAATGTGGTTCTGCAGTAACTGAATTCTATTCTAGAAAGCTACTGGACCGGTTGGTGATTTTCCCCAATCGGTTGTATTTGTTACTAGATTTATTACTTTTAGTCCAGTGACCTACTCAACCGGCCAAAACCACAACCGGTTGAATGCATTTTCCAAAGGTTCAAAAAATAAAAAATATATATTATAGGATTTTGAGTCCAACTTCAACCCAAACTCAAAGAGATGTCCTCTAGTGTTTTTTTACTTCTTTCTCAATGCTTTTAATACCGCCCTACATTATAAATACTCAGCTTTTGAAAAGATTTTGAAAAGAGCGAATACCAAATATCATATTGAGTATTTTGTGAGATTTTGACAGAAAAATCAAGCTGAGATTTTTCTAAATTTATTTCTTTTATGATGAGAGCACACATGTTCATCTTGTGTGTATACTGAGACGTTCATCATCTAGTCAACAGAATTGGAGTATCATATGTTATTTGTATCTTTACACAGTTAGTGAAAGATAAGGCAAGTTCAATCACTAAAAAAAGCGGATCATTGTGAGGTATTACATTGGCATGGATCAGTGTTGCTGGTGGTTCCGAAGGCACTGGGATCAGAGAACATTGAGCATCAGAGGTAAAGCAACAGTAGGTGATTCCAAAGAATCATAGACTTGTGGAGAGCAGTTCCTAAGGCACTGGGACTCGTTGTGCCCTTTCTCTGATTAGTGGATTGTTCCACCACAGGCAACTACAGCTCTATAGGTTTTCCTCACAGAGGTTTTCCACTTTAAAAATCCTGGTGTCACTCTCTTACTTTTCTGTCTTTATTTTTATTGCTGGTGTATTGATTGATTTATCGCGCAAAATTGGCTAAAATTGAAAAGAATCTACAAAAAACAATCGAATGAGCAAACTAGACCTATTCACCCCTCTTAGGTCTTCCTACTGAGATTAAACTTGCACAACACTTCTGCACAGCGCAACTCACAAAGATAGACTTTAGGTGGGTTGGTTTAAACATAAGTACAATAGACAGTTTAGTTTTTGGTATTGTACTGCAACCTTTATCAAATTCAATAGTGTGGAGGAGTATGACTGCTAAGAGGGAGTTTATGAAAGCTCATGTGCATTTCAGAATTGGTCATGGTTCCACATTTAGGATATTATGAACAAATGATTGTTTATTTTTTTTTAATTGTTTATTGTTTTTTTTATTTTTATTTTTTTAATTTTCGAAAAATATTTTTGGATCCTTGGTTGATGGGCAGTCTTTGGTGAGAGGTTTGGTCACAGAATTGTGAGAGCATTGCGAGAACATCCCTTTGAATAAGTATGATAAGGTGCAAGTTTTGATTAGGAGTGGGACTTGGAACATTTCTTTTTTCAAATCTGAAAATTTTCAGATTTTTGAACGTATCAGAAATAATCAGCTTGGTTGTAGGGTTGATCAGATTGTGTGGAAATATGGTACATGCTCATTGAAGTCCATTTGAACTAAATACAGGAGTGCTGGAGCCGAGGTTTCTTGGTATAACCTATGTTGGAATGGTGGAAGGCTTAGGTGGTCTGCTTTGGCAGCCTTGGTCATTCTAGACAAAGTCTTGAGCTTCGCTAATCTGCAAAAGAGAGGGCTGGTAGTGGTTCCTATTTTTCACAAATGTTTTCATTCCTCAGATTCAACAAACCATTTGTTTGTGCAGTGTCCTTTGGCTAATGAGATATGGCACTGGTTTGCGGATATGATTAATGGAATTTACACTTCCTGCTCTTCAGTTCTGGAGTTCACGGATTGGTTCTTGAGCAGTTTTAAGGGTCCTAACTTGCTGGCTAAAATCTCTAGACTGGTTTTCGCAGCTGCTCTCTACCCTATTTGGACTGAAAGAAATAGAAGAGTGCAACAGGAGGCTTCCAAAGATCTAGCCGAACTATGCAGATCCATTTTGTGCTAGGCTCTTCATGTAGTTGGGAGAACTCTATCAGATGTCATGGAGCTTTTGCAATAGTTCTTTCTTCTTATTTCCATTTGCCTTGTGTGCTGAGTTTATTGTCTCTCATGTTTAATTATTACTTTGATTGTACAGCAAGGGTATACCATTACTTATGGCCATGTACACTTATGTTTTATTTGTATAATATTCCATGTTTATTTAGGGAAAGAAAAATAGTATTCCACTAGTGATACCTGTGGGAGTATCAAATGCAGGTAATAGTCGGCGGGCCAGATCTTCAGCTAAATGAAGTAATTCATCATCGTAGGATGGAACTTTCATGCCCTGTGAATTAAAAAATATATATATCCAATGAATACATGAAGAATAGAGCCAACACTATCACACTCCACCATTGTAGAAATAAAAGTTAGAAGGAACAACAAACCTCTCTACAAATTTTCTTTTTACATAGCAGAACAAAGTTCCAGTTGAAATTTGGCTTTATATTGTTGTATAACTTTGTAATTAATTTTCTAGATGCAGATATCCTCAACTGTTTACTCGTTTTTTTATATGGTAAGTGAAAAGGCTAGACTCACATTCAGAGGCCAATATCTGGTTGGATGTGCATGCATAGGAGTATGATCTATCTAATCAACAAATAAAGGGACAAAACTTTTTGGTTATACATGTCAATAGTGTAGTTCACTCATCTTTAAATGTCCATGTAACCACTCTTTGGTTACACGTCAATAGAATAGTTCACTCATCTTTAAATGTCCATGTAACAAAGGAATTGGTTAGGTCCGCTCTAACAAATTGAATGCTTTCCTCTTGTCCCTTTTTGTCAAACATATATACAGGTATAAATGATGTAGTAAGTTTGTCCAACGAGAAATGCTTCACACACACTGAATTTTCCATGCAACATAACTGATCATCCAATAATCATTTTCTCCACTAAGAAAACGGGGGTGCCTGGTGTGAGGGCATACGGGCTTGCAGATTAAATGCCTCTATAAAAAAGAATTAAATTAAGAAGAAGAAGAAGAAAACTTTTTGCACATGCAAATTAAATAGTTGTAATTTAATAGTTCAAGCAGCGCACATTTCCCATTGGCTGTTTTACAAACATAAAACTTTTTTTCTTTTCTTTTGGTTGCCATCAAAGCTGATGTCATATGCACTATGGAAAATGAGATTATTTTCATGGGTAAAAAATTGAAAATGAGAAGATTGTAGTAAAAATACTAACAAGTTAAATTTATATAAAGAATACCGTAGCATAATCACTGGCAATAAGATGAGCAGAAAGTAAACCTCCAAGGATACGTATCGTAGTCTCAAACACAGATACTGTCTTGTTCTGCAAATTTGATCCAAAAAACAAAAAGGAAAAAAGGAAAGAAATTAGTTTGACTAATTCTACTGACAGGAATCAAAGCACTGTGTCTAGCCACTTTAAAGTTTAAACTGGCCTCAAAAGATATATAAATGACTAACTCAATAACAACCAAAAATTCAGAACACTAACAAGGCAGTAAACCATATTCCAATAAGAAAAAAGAAAAAGAAAAGTCAAATAAAAGTAATTAACAGCTTAAGCAAAACATTAATTTTTAGGGTATATTAGTTTTTGAAAAATCACTCTGACACCCCTTGTCAAAGTGAGGACTGTTAACTCTGTTATCATTCATTGTAAAAGTACTAAAATACCCTTTGCTTTTAATAAAGATTTGATCACCTCATTGCGGATGTAATAAAAAACTAAATTACAATTTTACAATTGGGGGTGTATGCATATATAATAGACATGTATACATATATATTATATACAATATATACCTAAATTGAACATGGATACAAAAATAAATAAAGATATATTTGACCACAGGAGGAGAGAAATTGTCGATGGTGAGCTTGGCAAAGGGATTGAGGGTGAAGAGAGAGAGAGAGTACGATTGCGATGGGGTGACGGACTTGAAGAACCCATTTGTAATGGGGATGACGGAGTAAGTGAAGATGGTGGCGGATTGGTGGTCGGAGGAAGAAGTGAGGTAGTGGAAGAAGTTGGGTGATAATAGAGATGCATATGTCATCAATCCAAGTGATGTAGGTGTACAAACAAAGCTTTGTGTGTGTGTGTGTGTGTGTGTGTGTGTGTGCGCGCGCAAACCCACGAATCGAAAATTGGGGTGATCTAACTCACAAAACTTTCCAAAATATGTGAAGGAGGTTATGGGTTATGGAAAGAGAGAGGTAATCAAAAGAGAAGAGAGGGTGTTGAGACAGTAGAAGTGCACGAACACAAAGATCCAATGAAAGCCAACAAAAGAATCACAAACAAACACAAGATATAACGTGGTTTGGGCCAACCCGACCTACATCCACAGATAAGAAGAGATTCTACTATGATTCGTAGAGATATTACAACAGTAGGGTACCAACACCGCGTACATGCCTTTTCACCATGTACCCACTCCATGAACCTATCTCCTCGCCACTAGTGCCGCTAGTGTTTTTCCTACTCTACCAGCCCATAAACTAACTCTACCCATCAACTCCCTCATGATACTACATCTCTCAATCTTATAAGTCTCAACCCATAACCTAGATACCTATTTATAGAGTGGTAGACCCAAACAAGGATTACAATTCCTTGGAGCCCAATACTTGTCTAAAAAGAAATTACCTAATAAAATACAACTCTAAATTAGAAACCTAATTAAAATAGGAAGTTGAGACACAATTTGCAACAGAGGGGATGCAAGAAAGTATAGATGTGGGTCTTTTTAGAAGAACGTTTTAGAGGGGAAGGGAGAGAGGGAAGAGACTTTTTAGAGCGTGAGTTGAGTTAAAGAGAAAAGTGAGAGTTATGGAGAGAGAAATAGAGGGAGTTAAAGAAGAGGGAAGTGTTGGTGGCCGGAGATAGAGAGGGAGAGAACCCATCGCAAAGGAGGAAGACAAAGAATAAAGTTTCAGTCAATCCTATTCATTGAAAGGAAAATTTGGTATTTCATTTATTGGTATGACGGCATTAACACTTCATTAACAGTAGTGAGGTTGACTGTGATTTTGTAAAACCTCGAGGGAGGTTGACCATATTTTTTTCAAAACTTTCATCTGAGAGTGACTTGGGCAAACCTCAAGGGGGTCTCAGAGTAATTTACCATAAATTTTAATAAGAATATCATATCTGACAGAATATTGCAAATGATTACTTTACACATCCATACAGCATACATGATGCATGAAAATTCTCAAAGAGATGAATCAGAATTATTTTAATCAGTTAAGGAAATACCAAGCACACAAGAGAGAAGTTTTTGGTTCACAGGGTTGTTTGAAGCAGAAGTTTAAAGTTTTATTTAATGAATAAGAATGGAAATAATTTTAACAACAGATACTGGAGAAATATGGAATTTTTTTTTTTTTTTTTTTTTTTTTGACTAAAGAATTAGACTATTAAAAATGCTAAAGTGGCCACAACCCAGGCATATGCAAGATACATAGGAGTGGATAGAAAGAAACTCCTGGCAGAGATAAATAAATATGCAAAGGAATAAATAGAATTAGAGAACTTCCCTTACAATAAAAATTGTAAAGAAGAAAGAAAGAAACAGTACAAAGCACACTTTCAGAAGTTCAACAAAGCATTAAGGAAACCATCTTCTTTTTCTTGAATCCACAAGCAAATAAAAGCATCTATTTTTGTTATTTTCGTCAACCATGATAGCAAAACCCATGCATTTATAAAATAAATCCTTTTTCAAGAAGGCACAATATCAATATACTTCTATACGTTCTTCTGGTGAATTAAGATAGAACATTATAGGTACCCAAATGAGTTCCAAACATGAGTGTCGTGTCAAATGTGTTTGACACGCTAATTGCCAATAGGAAGAAATGTCTTACAACATCATAGTAAAAAGTGAATTATAATCTGATAGTTATATGTTAAGCACTTAGGCTTGAGAAACATGATATGCAGGAGAACTCCACTCTCCACAAGTAACAAGACATTCTAGGATGGCTAATTGGAACTATTAACATGATCAACTAGGCAACAATTTTTTATTTTTTTTGATAAATTGTATTTTATTAGCAAAATACCCTCGGAAATAACAAATTGCACTATATATTTAAACCAAGTGTCATGTATTTGACAATAATGGGAGAACTGTAAGGATAACTGTTTGAATATCTGCATAGCTTATTATCTAAAAGGAGTAGTAAACAAAATTTTGAGTTAGTTTGTCAAACTAAAATGAATGAGAATCATGCTTATAAACAGACAGTTTCAATTAAAAACAAGTCAGGACTTTTGATTCATTATTACAAGATAAGAATGCAATGCCATCAAATAAAGCACAAAAAATGTCCCAACATGGTAAGCGTGTAACATTAACATAAAAAAGAAAAAAATGCAATACTCACTATATCAAACTGAAGGTTTTTACCAATCCATTCAACAGATGAAGAGAAGCGCTCCCGGTCACCAAGCAAAGCCAAAGTGTCTAAGGAGTCAATCTGTGACCACAACGTTAAATAGAAGTAACATTTAAGAAGATAAATGAAACCACATTTTCTAATATGAAAAAGAAAAATGAATAAAATAAATAAACTGTTGTTACCAGAGTTAAGGCATAACCACCAAGAGTGTCTTCTCCTTCGCATGATAGAGGTTTTAGTTCATCAAGAGGGAAAGCATGATCCATATACCCATTAAATGCATGATAGAACATATCATGCACCTGTGTCATAAAAGAAATATACCATCAACAAATTTAAATCCATTTAGCTTCAATTGAAAGTTTCATACAACAACTATCCTGAAAATCCCCTTTAAAAATTGTAAAGGCAATGCACTTATAGCTGCCGGGTTGTGTTGCAGTCATAGACATAACCTTTTTTCCTTCATTTTTTTTTCCTCATCACCGAGTAAGTCTATAAGAACAACAATATTTAGTTGGTGACTAAGAAACTATAAAGTAATGCCTTTTCGTTACACTCCTACCTTCAAATGATGAATACTCACTGCATCAAAAGTTGGATGTGGGTATAGAATCACTACCCGGATGTGGGTATCAAATCACTACAGTGGTTTCTTCTTACATTTGATAAAGCAAATTTGATACAAATGAAACAGCTTTTTGTTCATCTCAATTGCTTCAATTTAGATGGTTCAATGATTTTTGTTCATATAGCTTTCTATTGTACTAAGAAAAATCACCAACTGGGAGTTAATTTAGTAGTTCCTCTAAGGCTGAGTTTCACACTAAATTGAATTTGCTCTACCCAGTTCCTATATAACAATCTTCAATCAGAAATCAAATCAAGACTGTAACAGTAATGGTATCAGTTGAGAACAGTGGGATTGATGAGGCAAACCAATCAATGTAAGATTCAAGATTCAGCTTATTTATTAGCTATAGGTTATATAGATACTTTATATCTGTATTGAAATTATAAGAAAAAAATGGTTACCTCATCTCTGAGCTGTTTGGCTTCTTCGGTAGTAACGCCCTCTGCTACAATTTTGTAGATGAAAATATCCGAAAATATAAAGAATAAGAAAAAAATCGATGGTTTGAGAAATTCCATTCTCTCTGCGCATATATAGGCAAACACACACGTATATATATGTGTGAGACTATATCACAATCTGCTTTTGTTTTAGTTTTGTTGGCTTTCTCTCGTTAATGGTTTACATGAGCACGCACTTATGCCCGTGGGTTCTGCAAAGGAGGGGGAAGAACCTATTTTTTGGAACTACAACAAAATATTCACCCAGATTTCTATTTTGAGTAAAATGCAATAAATAAATAAAACAAAATTCTCTTTTTTGCAAATGACTCGGGAAACAAATGAAATTACTATTTTACCCTAATGTGCAAACTACATTTCATATATAATTTTCAAATTCTTATAAATATGATATTAAAGTAGATATTAATACAAGCGCAGAGATGAGATGAATGAGAGAAATTGTAAAGATGAGGGGGAGAGAGAAAACTGTAAACATGATTTTCACACTTTCTATTGTATACAGATAACCTAGTTACAGGCATCTTGGACGTGGGCAGCGAGCTGCTTACATAAGCTGCTCTGCCATTCAAAAGATTCAATCTATATATGTATCATTACAAGTGAACCCCACACCAACATATATATATATATATATATATATATAACACTCTTTCTTGGAATCCACTGTATTACACTAAGAATATGTTTCGTTAAAATCTTGCTAAGAAAAACCCAGTGGGACAAAACCCTAGCGAAGGAAAAAAAGTACAATATTCTTGTATTTCTAAAAATGGTATTGCATAAGTTAAAATTGTCTCATTAAAACCTTGTTAAGAAAAACTCAGTGGGATAAAAACCTGGACCAAAGAAAAAGAGTACAGTATGTCAATATCTTTTCAACCAATTTCTCCCCCTAATTAATTCAACTCTGAAGATCATTTAGTTAACGCATTCCCATGTTGTGTACCAACTTCTTGAATGTTGTAGTTGAAACTGTTTTAGCGAATAGATCTGCTAGATTTTCACATGAACGTATCTTCTGATTATCAGTACCACCCTTTTTCTGGCGTTCATGTGCATAAAAGAATTTTGGTGAGATGCGTTTGGTCATGTCACTTTTAATATACCCTTCTTTCATCTGTGCAATGCATGTCACATTATCTTCATATAATACTGTTAGGCTATCTTTTATTGATGTGAGACCACATGTTGTTTGAATATGTTGGATCATCGACCTCAACCAAATGCATTCCCTACTTGCCTCATGAATTACGAGTATCTCAGAATGATTTGAAGAAGTTGCAATCATTATCTGTTTCATAAATCGCCATGATATAGCAGTGCCACCATAAGTAAACACATATCATGTTTGTAAATAAGCTTTATATGGGTCAGAGAGATAGCCAGCATTTGCATATCCAATTAATTGAGAATTTGTGTTTTTGAATAAAACAATCCCATATCAATTGTATCACGAAGATATCGCAATATGTGTTTGATTCCATTCCAATGTCTACGGATTGGTGCAGAACTGTACCTTACTGATAAATTGACTGGAAAAATTATGTCAGGTCTTGTGCAATTTGCAATATACAAAAGAGCACCAATCACACTGAGATATGGCACTTCAGGACCAAGGAGTTCTTCATTATCCTCTCGAGGACGAAAATGATCAATCTTAATGTCAAGTGATCGAACAACCATTGGAGAGCTCAATGGATGGGCTTTATCCATATAAAAACGTTTCAGAACCTTTTCTGTATATGTTGATTGATGGATGAGAATACCGCTCGAAAAATGTTCAACCTACAGGCCAAGGCAGAATCTTGTCTTTCCGAGATCTTTCATTTGAAATTCTTTCTTTAAATAAGTGGCCGTCTTTTCAATCTCATCCAATGTTCCCACAAGATTCAGATCATCAACATACACTACAACAATAATAAAACCAGATTCTGATTTGTTAATAAAAATGCATGGACAAAGATGATTGTTCACATACCCTTCTTTAAGTAAGTAATCGCTAAGGCGATTGTACCCTATTCGTCCAGATTGCTTCAATCCATATAAGGATCGTTGTAATTTTATCGAGTACATACTACGTAGTTTTGTTTCAGACATTTTAAATCCTTCTGGGATTTTCATATAAATATCATTATCTAGTGAATTATATAAATATGTTGTAACCACGTCCATTAAATGCATATGCAGTCTTTCTGTGACTGCTAAATGTATTATGAATCTAAATATGGTGCACCAATCACAAGGGAGTATGTTTCCTCCTAATCAATCCCAGGTCTCTGTGAGAAACCTTAAGCTACCAATTGGGCTTTGTATCTTATGATTTCATTTTTCTCATTACGTTTTCGTACAAATACCCATTTGTACCCAACAGGATTAACACTCTCAAGTGTTTGGACTACAGGTCCAAATACTTCACGTTTAGCTAATGAATTTAGCTATACTTATATCGCTTCTTTCCATTTTGGCCAATCATTTCTTCGTCGACACTCTTCGACGTTTTGAGGTTCCGGGTCCTCATTATCAATATTAAGAGCAACGACATATGAGAATATGTTGTCGACAACAATTTCATTTCTATTCTATCTCATTCTATAATTTAGCGAGATCTCATCATTTTCAGGTACCTTTGCCTCATCAATATTTATTATTTCATTATTTTTAGGTACCTGGGCCTCATCAAGAGCCTCTGCCTTATCAAAGGCTATAATCTCAGATTGGTCAATAATATCTGTTACTCCTTTTGTGGCCTCTTCAGGAGTGCCAATTTTTCTTTGTGATTTCCTCTTACACAGAGCAGTATCTTTTGCACCGACTAGTCTGCCACGCTTCAGACGTGTTTTAGATGCATTTGATGCATTACTGACAGAAGGTCCCTCAAGGACAGCAATTCATGTTGGAACATTTGCAGCTGGTATATGTGATTTTATTACTTTCTTTATATCAGTAAATGCATCAGGCAATTGATTTGCAACATTTTGCAAGTGAATGATCCTCTGAACTTCTCGTTCACATTGATTTGTGCGAGGATTAAAATGAGACAATTCCAGGGTATTCCAAGTAATATCACGTTGCTGCTGTGCCTTTTCTCCCCCTAATGGTGGGAACACAGGCTCATCAAAATGACAGTCAACAAATTGTGCTTTAAAGACATCACCTGTCAGGGGTTCAAGATATCTAATAATAGTTGGAGAATCAAAACCAATATAAATTCCAAGTCTACGTTGAGGACCCATTTTAATGCATTGGGGTGTTACAAGTGGAACATATACAGTACAACCAAAAACTCGTATGTGAGAGATATTTGGTTGTTGACCAAAAACAAGTTGCAATGGTGAGTACTTACGATAAACAGTTGGTCGTATACGAACTAATGATGCAGCATGTAATATGGCATGTCCCAGGCAGAAACAGGTAATTTTGTTCGCATAAGTAAATGACGACCAATTAATTAAAGTCTTTTAATAAAAGATTCGGCCATACCGTTTGAGTATGAGTGTATGCGACAGGATGTTCAACATTAATTCCAACTGACATGTAATAGTCATCAAAAGCTTGAGAAGAAAATTCAGCGGCATTATCAAGACGGATTGTCTTAATTGGGTAATCAGGAAAGTGTGTCCGTGATTTGATAATTTGAGCAAGAAGTCTAACAAATGCAACATTACGAGTAGAAAGCAGACAAACATATGACCATTATGTTGAGACATCAATTAAGACCATAAAATAGCGAAATGGTCCACAGGGTGGATGAATCGGCCCACATATATCCCCATTAATTCGTTGTAAAAATGGTAGAGATTCAACAATGACTTTTGAAAAGGATGGTCTAATAATCAACTTACTTTGTGAGCAAGCGGTGCATAGATGATTAGTTGGTAAGATGATTTTTTGATCCTTTAGTGGGTGTCCATGTGAATTTTCAATAATTCGACGCATTATTATACTCCCCGGGTGACCAAGTCGATCATACTAAAGCATAAAAAGTTTTGGGTCACAAGATTTTTTATGTATCACAGCATTGGACTCAATTGTCCGTATGGTTGTATAGTATAACCCAGAAGAGAAAACATAGAGTTTTTCTATTATCAGCTTCTTACATGAGGTAATGGAAGTAATATAGAGATATTACACATTTCTTTCATTTGCGGTCTTAATATGATACCCATTACGATGCAAGTCTTTAAAACTCAACAGATCTCTTTGAGATCTTGTGGAATATAAGGCATCACTGATTTGTAATCTTGTTCCACGTGGTAAAATGATGTTGGTTCATCCGGAGCCTTCAATCAAGTCGATGGGACCTGATATTGTATTAACACTAGCATCTGTCAAAGTCTGGTGAGAAAAATATTTTTGATTTCGAAGAATTGTGTGTGTTGTTCCACTATCAGCACGACATATATCTTCACCATTTATTATGGAACCAGTTAGATCCATTCCTATTCATACAAATTTAGAAAAGAAACAGTTATAACAAAAAAAACTTTAATACAAACTTAGAATACTAAAATAAAATAAAATATTAATACAAGGAAAATAAAAACATGTTGAAGATAACATAGTAGAAAGAATATGAAATGAAAAAAAAATTAATTAGTGTGGACATTTCCATCCCCAATCAGGTGATCTATCTTTCCATCACGGTCCTCAAAAAAATCTAATACATCCAGATTTGTGATGTCAATTGGCTCATAATAATGAATGAAATTCATTTATTTTCGTTTCCCCTTTTCTTTCATTGAGGCTTAGTAAAGTTCAGTCAGATGCTTAGGTGTATGACAAATGTTTTGCCAATGCCCCTGTCATTCCACACCGATAACAAGTATTATCATATGCCATGGAAGGTTGAGCCATATCCTTCCCTTTTACTTGTCTCATTTCATTATAATCTCTCATTTGGAGATATAGTGTGGATCTCTGATTGCGAAAATTTGAGGATTGGTAAAAATTTGATTTTTACCATGACCATATTCATTATTGTGGTCATTTCTACCACCAATATTATGTCCACGTCCAAGTCCACGTCCACGGGATGAGGCAACATATGTTTCAAGGATCGGTGTCGATCCAGTTGGACAGGATGGGTGGTTTCTTAACAAAAACTCGTTATTTTGCTTCACCACAAGCAAACATGATATCAGCTTTAAATATTTTTCAAATCTACGCTCTTGATATTGTTATTGTAAGAGTACATTCAAGGCATGAAATGTGGTAAATGTTTTTTTCAAAAATTCACCAGTGATGGTATC